GGCGGCGCAGGTGGAGGAGTTGCTCCTGGCGCCGGGCGGTGGTCTGAAATCGCTTCTCTGCGGCGGCATACCAGGCATCCCAGATCTGGAGAACAGAGCTGCGTGGAGACGGTGGCTCCGAGATATCGAGCTTCCGCAAAAGCATCGAGGTGTGCGCAGAGCGGAAAGAGGTCTCCTGACAGCAAACCAAAGCTTTTCACCACGAATGGAGGGTCACGCAGTGACTCCTTGTGACAACGAAACAGTGGTGCACCTAGAAGAGCGGTTGGAGTGTCTATATTATGAGTCAGATCTATGTTGGATGTTGGAAGTGAAGGTGCCAAAGCAAACAACATGCCAAAGGCATTCCAGTTTTTCAACATGAAGATGCTGCTGCAGTGTTGTCTGTTTCGAACATCATTTATGAAAAGCATCGCAATTTCAACGGCTTCTGCTGCCGCAGGACTATGGCTCGACTGACAGGTGATGGGTTCAGGTTCGGAAAGACAGGCACTGGCACTGACATACATGAAGTAACATAACTGAGTATATAATTATATATCACCAGGGCGCCCAGTTCATTGTAGACTCAATAATTATCAATGTAAATTATATTGTAATTAAACTTAATGATATAGTTATAATGTAGTATGATCGAAAGCCCAGTGCCCACTCAGTAGGTCCCACTCCCTCGACTCCCTCGACTCGCCGCCGGCGCCTGGCGCGGCCGGTCCGCCAGCCGCCGCAGCGTCTCGGCCTGCGCGGCGCTAGCAAGCTGCTGGAGCCGCGCGGCCAGGGAGTCGCGCTCGCGTGGTGTGGGCGGCACGGAGAAGCCGGGCAGCAGCTCGGCATAGCCTGGGAACATGGGGGCATGGGCTTGATGTCTGAAGTGATCGGATGATTTACCGGTCATAAGTCATGATTGTCATACGTGGTGTAAAATACTGTCCTGGCCCCAAGGTTTGGGTTGAAGGTTTGTTGTGGGTTCATGAACATCGGCTGTATGTGTTGGACAGGATAGGAACCGGAGCGAACAGTGCAAAATTCAGTTGAGAGCTCTGGGGGTTCAATTGGTTTCCAAGTCTCATTGCTTGAAATGAGCTGGTTTAAAAGAGCACCCAGCAGTCCTTTCACATCAGTATCACTAGACATCACCAGACTGGAGATAGATACCATGATTTGATGGGTTTAACCTGAATCTGAATCCTCCCCGGCGACTTTGAATTCAACAAGGCGCTGGAGAGCATCTCGCAAAGCAAGGCTTGCAGGAGCACCTGAAGCAAGACTCAAGACTCAATGCGGAAAACCCCAGAACTTGAAAACGACAAACAAGGAGATGATGTTCTTACAAATTTATCTGTCATCTGTTGAATCACATGTTTGGATTTCAAATGATTTCCATCCACAAGGCCTTGGACAAGGCTTTAAGAAGCAAGGGGATCAGAAAACAGTGCTATATCGAATGGGCCAACAAACAATTGAAAACAACAACACAAACAAATCCAACATCACTGTCCCGTCAGTCCTGTATACATATATTATATATATATATACTTAATGCGCTGCTCGAGCTAAATCAGGAACAGGATCAATCCTGGTAGCCCTGAAAACCGTTTAGATAGAGAGCATATTGGCGTGCCTCAGACTTTTGTTTAAATAACGGCCGGGAGGCCATTCTATAGAGAAGTAGTGAGGTAGTTGCTTTCATACATTCACTGCTTTTTTGAAGCCGTAGCAAACTCACCACACAACGAATCAAAATTAACCGTCAAACATGGAATTGAAATATCTCTACACAAAGCAGGACATGAAAAGCACAGCTCCCAGTTTGTACCCCAAAGGTTGAAAAGGGTGTCCCCCAGTCTCTGCAAAAATTCCACTCTGCAGTCGCTTTCAACTACAAGCCGCATTCTTTCGGATATCAAATGGGAATGGGACACTTCCACAATCGATATTGAATATTGGAAGGCAAGATTGACTAATAAGCACCGTTGGGTTCCATAGGAAAAGCACTGGCCCAAAGGGGTAGACTGGTCTATTTTCTTCCTTCCAGGGAGTTGAACTGGGAGGTATCCATATCCATGCACCATCTTTGGTCTCGATCTCGGCTCGATCACCGCTTGATGGCAAAGGCCACACCGGTCACGAAGGTTGCGAATTCAAGAGGCTGGCTTCGTCGGAAGGTTGCTATGGTGCACTGCCGCAGTATACATCAGATACAATTATATAATATAACTACACGGTATTACACAACTGCGTAATTGCATAAACTTGTAATATGCCATCATATGCCACATGAATATACATGAAGCATCATGAAACTCACTCTCTGCACCCCATTGCACACCACATTGCGGAGCACATGGCCTGGACCAATCCCCTAGGTCCAAGTCGCACGATGGCCATCGGGCAGTTGTGCCACCTCCTGTGCCAAGAGCTGCTCGCGCCAGCTGCGCCACTCTTCCCGCAGCCGGGCGCTGGCGGCGCTGGCGGTGGACGCTTTCTCATGAAAGCCTTGAGGGTGGCAGTGCGGTGGTGCTTTTCGGGTCTTAAGGGACGGTTGGGCTGATGGGTTGAGGGCCTTGGAAGAATGGTCGTGATTCTGGCAGACCTGTCAGAACCCCCCCCCGCACCATTCCCGCAACCTATCATCTCCTCTTTCAGGATAAACATCGATCAACTCTATCACACATTTAATACCCAACTCAAACACTCCATCACATATATATAAATCACATACAATGGGGTGACCCTGCGGAGGCATATGGAGGCATATTCTTCCGGACCACGACACGATCGCGTCGGGGTGAAACAAATGGCGCACATGACTCACATGACACATCTCTCATGACTCCCATGTACCAGGACCCTCCTGTCGGGGCGCCCTGTCTGGAAGCCTATAGGTAGTGTGGGGTAGTCCAGCCAGGACACCTCGAAGGTCGGAGGGTCCAGGTATGTCTGCAAATGGCAGATCCCATGTCGTGGAATTCTGGACCTCACCTACCGACCAAATGACCTACCAACGAGCGGTCCACGTCGCGACATGGGGAACTGGGTGAGACGCTCCGTCCACGCCCCCTTCGCTCCACGTTGGACTGGCCGAGGCGCTCAGCTTCCAATCCTCGCGGCGCTCCTTCGCTAAGGCTCGCAGCTCAGCGCAGAGGCGCTCAGCTTCCGCCATGGCCGGGCGCCATGCCGGGCGCAGTCGACGGAAAGCAAACGCAAAGAAGCACTTGACTGGAGTGACTGGAGTGACTGGCCATAGATTTTAATTGCATGTTAATTAATCTTCATTTGTGCACATGAACGGAAGTGCCAACCTTCTTTGTTTGCCGGAATTGATTCGATACACCGATCGATCTTCATCTTCCTGGGCATCTCTGGCTTCCCATGGACACGGTGAGTCCGCAACACTGCGTGACGTGCGTACGATGCGCCCACAAGGTCCACAAACGTCAGACGTGGCTGGACCAAAGAACCGTCAACACTGGCTGGAGTAGGTGAACTGGCTAGAGTTGGCTGTCCATGTCATGGCTGCTCGTCCCATGGAGGTCTGATTTCATGGTGGTTGGGGTAGGACGGACGGTGAGTTTTGAGATGTTTTGAGTATGTGCTGGTTTCAATGAACCCGAATGCAGCGGCCCGGGCTCAAACACTTGGCACCGCCCGGTCTTCCACCGTCATCTGTCTTCTAAACGCCCACGTCTTCCACCGCTGTCATCCCTGTTCTTTCGGATCTTTAACATAGGGGGGGAATGCCCTCCTTTTGAGCCAGAAGCACATGCAGATTGCCGACAAAAATCACACACACCCTAAGTAACACTGTTCACACAGTAAGAGGGCCACGGCACCTCCATCTGCCGCCAACAGGGCACGGACTCCCTGTTAAACATGTTCAGAACACAGAAATCACCTCTCATGGTCCAAACACCATCTGGTGTGTTGAAATATTGTGAACATTTGCGAAGTATTTCTTCATTATATCGTTTCTGAATTCTATGTTCTGGATTGTTATGGTTTTTTCTAGTGTGTTCAGGGCGCCGTTCACGCGCCCCATATCCCTTCGAACGCAGCTCTGGCAGTCATGGAACCAACGGTGATCCTCCACGGCTTCGAATCGATGGTGAGGTCAGAGGGGTCGACGCACAGGTATTACAAGTGGGTCGACGCCTTCAGTTTTAGAAACTGCAGACGCACAGTTTACAGGTTCCTCGAGTTTTGTAGTGTCTTTGTGGTAGAGGAACCAGCTCCCTCAAGGCAGGGGAGTTCTGCATGCGCAAGAGGAAGGACACCTGTTCATCTACTGCAAACCGCCCAGGGTCTTTTTTTCCCATTGCGACGCAAGTAGCATCTACTCGCTGAAAACCAAACAGCTGAACATGACATTGCAGTTAACCAGTTCATCTAAACTATGATCCAACTACCAGAACGTCCACCAACATTGCTGGAAGAAACCGTTGGCTTGATTGGTATATGTGTATATGTATAGTTACAACTATAACCTTGACTGCCATGGAGATTCGCTGTTGACTCTGTGCTTGATCTGATGATTGACATCGGAAGAGTGATCACCTAAACTAGGGTGAGCGCGCGGATCGGTCAGGAGAGGAACCGGAACTCGTCCGTCGGCGCCCGGTCAGGACACCTGGGGAAGGCGGTTTTCAGGCGTTCCCATCGGTCCGGGCGTCGTGGGTCCACTGGTTGGGGTGGTTTTTGAAGTGAAATGGTGGAGCACAATGACTTCAATTGACACAAGCTCAGGCACAAACAGGTGCCATCTATATAGTCATATTATACTCATATCAGGCACGAGACCAGCTCCAAGACCAGCTCGCCCATGGAAAAACACATATATATTTATATATTGCCCAATATTGCCCATGCAACAGGACATAGATCTTCCGGGCATTCTCAGGCTGGCTGATGTTCCGACGGTTGTTTGGAACATCTTTTGGAACAAACATGAACAAACCGTGTCAGTGTCAACCAAGGAACCCAATGCGGCCCTGGAGTGGCATCTTCCAATCACCAGAGCCCACATATGGACACCCCAAGTCACCAACTTCAGGGCCAAGACTTTCGACACCCCGAGTCACCCGGGGGGGCAGCCAACCCAACTGCATCAGGCAGTCGAAGACTGCCAGCTCCCCATGCGCAGTGGGGCAGTGGAGCGACTGTCCGCTTTTTATTGAACGACCCTTGAATCATGCGTCCCTTGAGCTTGACACGCCACAACAATGAAGTATGGCGCTTGACACGCCAAAACTTGATGCCAAAACTGCACCCATGCCATGCGTCCGGCTCAAAGTGACCGGAGCCGGCGAGGACAGGGGATGCGATGTGGATCATGCGAGAATCATGCATGGAATTCATGTTGACTTGGTCATGTTGCTCAACTATGGAGACCCCCTGTTTGACTGCAAGAAGGACAAGAGATCGCCTCACCCCATTGGTGGGGGGGCTTTCCTGTTCACATACACATCAATACACATCACACCCATTTAAGGATCCCCCCCGGTTCGATAGATCTGCCAAGTCGCCGGGAGCCAAGAGATACTTCTGGGCTTCACTGAGCTATGCAAGTCCTCCACTGCGGCTCGGCTTCCGTTTGAAACAGCACACGGTGTCCCAGGAAGGCATGAGATTCCATCAACCCCGAACCGAGAAAAACATATGAAAACTGGCCGAAATCGACCCTGAAATCACTGGTTGAAACAATCCGAGGTTTAACACAGGAAGGTTGATGGAAGGGGCGATTTCTTCGCCAATGCCAACCTCCGAATAATGTATACAAACGACACTGGCAACTGAGTCGGTCATTAAAAAAATACTCCGTTCAGGTGTTACAGTTCCTACCCCTTCAGCGTGCTGACTCATGTTGACAGATCAATCATGATACATCAAACTTCTCCAAAGATCGACCCTTTCCCAAAGGTCGAGAAATCATGAACTCTCGCGCCCTAAGGGAACCAACCCAAAAATTCGACTCCCATCCGCCCTCCGCGACGTCCGAAAACGCGGCTCCCCCCTCGGTCATCGGCGCTCGAAAACGTGCTCCCGCCTTGGTGGAGGTGAGGAACTCCACCTGAGAGGCGTCGATCGTTGGAGTGTCGGACGCTCCAACTCGGAAGGAACTGTCTGGAATGTCGGAATTGTGGAAGAATTCACCCATCTAGTGCAAGTGCCAGGAGCCTGAATGTTCACATGAAAATGATGTGAATTGGTGATGTGGGTGTGTAAGTAATGGTGTGTATTGGGTGTGCGTTGAACCCACTGGAGACCCCCCCTTGGCCTGGTAGTTCGGGTCTATTTTGCTTCTTCCTAGGCGAACTGGTTCTTAATGGAATCCACACCCATGTAAGCGGCCAGCTCTCCATCTCCTCTTTTTCATCTCAGAACCCAGGAAGAGTGTTCTCTGTTGAAACCAGCACGTGTGTGTCAAGTCAAAAATCGTCGTTTCAACCCTAGCTGTATCTTTTCAGACTGCAAGTACTCCACCAGTCGATCCGCGGCCTCCACACCACACGGACGTCCAGGTCCCCCGGCACGGAAGACGCTGCCGGGCGGGCCTTCCACGAGCCAAGACGTGCGCCTGGCGCGCTGATGCGCGAGTCTTACGCGAGTCTTACGCGGTCAAGGACAAGGAGAGGAGAGTTTCGCATGATCACAAGGATGATACGTTTTTCCCGGTGGTTTTGGGCATCCACCACAGGAAGCATGAAGCATGGCTCCAAACATCTCCAAACATTGCTCCAAACGTCGATCAGTGGGTTTGATCCATTGAAGCAATCCATCCAGGTCCTCAGGAATGCCACTCACTGCAGTCTAAAACACCGGCGCCCGAAAGGCTTTTATGCCAGGACCGAGCTGTTCTGTGCTACACAAAAAGAAAACCGTCACGATACTATGCTGATACATAATATCACGAGAAAAGACGAGCAAAAGCGGAGGAATTTCTACGATTTCTCCTGCGATTTCTCCTGATTGCTCTTCACCATCCCCAAGCGAGCCAAGAGAGGCAGCTCTTTCTCCGGGCCCATGATCGGAGCCAAGGCTTCCCTGAACCGCCGCCGCCGCGCGACGGAAACCGCGACGGAAACGGGACGGGCGCCGGGCGCCGGCTGTGTCTGGGAGAAGTGAGGTCCAAGGACTCCCACCACTCATTCATATATATATATATAGGAAAGCCAAAGGAAGATTCAAACATAAGTATACAAAATATACGATAACATATTAAGATTTAATAATATAATGCCAAGACAATAGCTAGTAGCAGTAGCAGCAATAGCTAGTAGCAGTAGCGGTAGTAGCAGTAGTAGTAGCAGTAGTAGTAGTAGTAGCAGTAGTAGTAGTAGCAATACGAAAAATTAACCTGGTTGTGGGCTCGGATTATCTGGGGGGGATTGTTGGTAGAAAACTAGACCATAGGGGGGGGAAATCAACAATACTAATCCCGAGTACCTATTAAAAAACGGACCCCTGTTAGAAAAAAGTCATGTCGGAAACCCCTAAATACGGTTTATATTTGTTTTTAAGTTACCGCCCTTTCAAGCCGCTACTAAACTACCAACATTGCCGACTTTGGAGGAGTTTTTTTAATTAGGTTCCAAAAACAACCGTAACTGCCCACCTCTGTCCGCCCTGTCTATCCACCATGACACGCCGCGCTTACACCAGCAGGCTTTCCTTCCCCCAATGGCACGGACTCACGCAAACGCACTTGCCACCGAGGTCATGCAACACCGCATGGCACAGCGACATCACCTTTCGAAAGCTTTAGCTGTTAGTCTACTGAAGAATCACTATTCTAATGAAGGTTTTAGTAGGGGAAGGAAGACCCTTCGATCTGGAGCTTTTTTGCATTTTTTTGATACGAGTTTAATAAAGGATTTTATATAAAATTTTACTGATTTACTTTTTGGTTTTGAAGCTCTTCCCAGGTGACCTATTTTGGACCCCCCGATTTCAGGGACCCCCCTATTAGAAAAAATGCGGCCGAGGTTTCCTTATTAGGGGGGGGGGGGCGTGTTTTTTAATCGGTGGACCGGATTACTCTTAAGTTGGTCAATTTCCGGCGGCTTTGTGGGCTCGGGTTAACTAGGGGGGATTTATTTCATCCTGACTTGACATTATTCTATATCAAAGGAACACCCATCAGCAATTCCTGGCGCCCGGGCGATGTGGTGTCTTGCGGGCCGATGTTCCTGGCGTTCGGCAGGCTTCAAGCCTGCCCCCCTGTTCGGTGGATCATGCATTTGGTGGGCCTCGTCCCGGCGGATCTTCTGTTCTTTTCATGAGAGTAGTGCCTGTAAGTTTCATCTTTGTTGCTGTTTGGGGGGTAGTGCCCTTGATCTTCAGTGCCCGAATTGCCCGAATGTCTTGTGGAACTTGATGATGTTTGCCAGGCTCCTGGCACAAACATTTGGTAACATCAGTGGGCGCTCAAAACAACACCATGCCATGGCCAAACAACTTGGAAAACGCAAAACGCCTCCAGCAAAACCTCACAAAAGTGACACCCCTTGCCTGCCGGGCTCGGCTACTTGCTTGGGTTTGAAATGAGAAGACCAGGAAACCAAGAATCAAACAATCCAAGACTCGATTTGTGGAAACTCTACTTGTAGTACTAAGACTATACCTGTACAATATGTCCATATAGGTGAACAGGCCTCCCATGGAGCGTGGGAACACCATCTTCGCACATCTCCCAAAGAATAGAACGCCCAGTCGGTCCAGCAGGGTCAATCACCCCAAAGATTTTACACGGCAGGGTCCTCACATTCGGAAGGTGAAGACTGTCCTGTCCTTTACAAACAGAGTTGTTTTCCCATCATCTGTCCCACTTCCCATCTGAACTCTGCATGATCAGTGTGGACAAAACACACCGTGTACCCCCGCGAAAAAACCTAAGAGATGGGCCGGACTGAACAAAACACGGCATTCGGACTGCGTCGGCCCCGTTGGGGCCCCGGACTTCTCAGGATCTCCATCCACCTCAGGTCACGAGGATGCACGGCCGCGCTGGGCACCGTGGTGTATCTGCATGCGCAGTTACATGCGCTTAGGCCGCGCAGGCGCGCAAGCAGGGCAAAGCGGACGGTATAAATTTCTACCAGGACCATCCAACGGGTGTGCAAGCAAAATTGAAACCTGGCCTTCTTGGTCCTTTTCATCAACTTCTTGGATATGCTCATGGTCACCTAATTACACCACCACCTGCCGCTCTGGCACATAACAGTGCTCAGGTCCCGAACGAAATCTATAAATTATCGATTATAACAAACACACAAACATAAGTCAATTTGACAATCCAGCATACGATCAATACCGACAATCCAAAGCGACCAAGAAGAAAAAACACAAAGCCAATACGTCTTCCCACTCAAAACGTCCACTCTTTGTGGGCAGTCCAAGGTGCCAGGATGCGAAACTCCAAGGTGCCGCCCTCCGGCACCTCGGGGGGGGTCCGGTGGGGCGAGGGCGGAGATGCGTGGAAGAGGCGGAGAGGGTTGGTGGGTATGACTTGGAGGGTGGGAAGAGGAATGACTTGGGGTTGAGAGATGCAAGAACTGCATGTTGAATTTCTGGCAGTCGGGCCCAGTGGGGAACTGGGCCTGGCCTGGGTCTCTCGTTGCGAGTTGGGAGTGAGACTTGAGCTGGGAGACTTTCATGATTTGATGCAGAAAAGTGAAATGGACATAGTTCCCCCATCATCACAAAGGGTGGTGCAGCAGGTAGCTCAAGTGGGACCTGCGGGAGGCGGGGTCTGGTTGACCGGAAAAGGCGTGCCGAGGCCCCAAGCAAAGTAGTGCCGTTCCTGTAGTGCAGGGGCCTCTGCTACGGTTTCTATCATCCACTATATAAAATAGGTTCTATCATATCTATGCGAATATGTGTTTTCTAATCAACTGCTCTTCAGAGCTTGTAGGACCACAAGAACACGTGTGTGTCTTAGTATATAATCCTTGGGAGTCGTCCAGCAGTGGTTGATGGGTCATGAGGTCCATTTTGGGGTCACCAGACTGGGCGTTGTCCCCATCAACAACCATTCTTGGGCAGCCGCCATTGGCCTCTTTGTTGGCATCCAGCTCCACAACAAACTGTATATATATGCCCTCTTGTGGAACAGAATCAAATGCTCAACCATCCCAAGGCATCTGCATGTTCCTACTCATGTTCCTTTCTCTGAGAAGCACATGGAGTCTCCGTTTGTACATGCTTGTACCCATGAAGCATCGGCACATGAATAAAAAAAGCCCCGTATTTCCAATCAGCTACATGTAAAAGCTGTTCTGGATACTTGTAGACATTGCAGACTTCATCTCTAGGCCTCAGCCACCTGCATCGCCGACAACAGGACCCACCCGGCCAAGAAACAGGGATGTCCTGATAGTAGAGCCCTGCGACCTGGGTCTGTCTAGCGCGGATGAGGAGTGAAAAGGCAAATCTGGGATCTGATCTCCGTCAGCTTCGACCTGCACCAAACGAAACTTGGTTCACCTGTGCACCATAGACCATCTACTAGTACACCTACTAGTACATCTGTGCAGCAGTGGGGAAATGAATCCCCAAGACAGGTTTATCAGGTCAAACGACTGGCTCGTTTGATGTCAAAAAGGACGACGCTTGCAGTTGTGCTGGATTTCAGTCCTCCTGGTGGGAGCCGGATCCAGTTGTTGTGTTTTTTTTTGCGTAGGAGTGAACGGAGATTCAATTGTATATGATACATGGCAAATATTTGTCATGCCTATGCAATCGTATGTACAAATATCTTCATGAACAAACATGAACAAACTACCTCTAGACAGGTGGGACTTCTAAGTTGAGTGACCTCGCAAAACGCTCATTTTGCCGCCCTTGACTTCCGCAGAGTGCCTGACCTGCATGGGACAAAGGCCGCTGTTGGTCAAAACAATTCATCAACAAAATACAAAAACAATTAAAAAAATATCAAAAACACACAAAAAAGTTGTTTTCAACTGGAATTGACACTTAATCATCTCACAATCTTTCTCCCAGCAGCCAAATCTTCCTCCCCAAATCCTTGAAACACAACCTCCACTCCGTCTCATTTTTCATCTCTCCATCGCCCCAACCTCTCATCTCCCCTCCCATTGGTCGGCGCCCACTAGGCGCTCCGCACGTTGCCCTCCTGCATGCGATCCACGTCCCAGTCGTTGTGGTTCCCGGTGGTGCCATAGAACTCGGCGGGGTCCTCTTTCACCTGGGGCGCCGTGCACACCCGGAGCGGCCGTGCTCCGTGCTGCTCGGAAGGTGCTCGGAACTCAGGGAGGGAGTGAAGGGCGAACCCAGCCCAAAGGCGACCACGTTCGCGTGGGGGACCCCCGAAACATGCGACATTCGGAGGTTTCATGATGTTTCTGCATGATGCTCCTCCTCCGGGCACCCTTCACCCTTCTGAGACGTCCCAGCTTGCTCCTTCTCGAAGGTCACAGTCTCTTCGCCCGTCAAAGGATCCTGGACACCGCTGGGCTGGGTGTCACTCGTTGCAGAGCTCGTGGCATTCCACCCAGGCCGTGGGGTTCCACGTTCACGTGCTGAACTCGTTCACGTTCCGATCCAAACAACACGTCGGTTTTACGGTTCGAGGAAGCCCCATAACGCTGACCCAGCTGCCCTGTCGTTCGATCTAGCAGGTCCGGGTGCAAAAAAGGACTGAGGCATGACACGATGGCCTCGGTAGTGGCGATAAAGTCTCCTCCCTCCATGTTGAAACAACTTGAAACCACACTTGTTTTGGAGATCCAAACTCCAGGTTGTTGACACCAAAAGCCTTGGACTTGGGTTGACACCGAAATCGGCAGGATTATTGCACGATGGCCCTCCCGAAGCGTTCACTCTTCACTGGTCTTAGCGTGAAATCCTGTAACATCAGTGAATGTCCATGAATGTCCGACGGATAGCTGCCTTCTCCAAGCAGACTTTGTAGCTGTCTCCCATGTTGGCCTTGTAATCCAGCCTCGATGCACTCTCATTCAGCCATCCGAGTTGTATGGGAAGGGTCGGAGGCATCTGCAGCCGAGTCTGATTCGTGGTCGTTGATTGAACCCACACATCAAAACATGGATGACACAGGACGTTCCAGACTTGTCTGACAACTACACTAACTACACATCTTAGACCTTGGAATGTTGCAAGGTAAGCCTTGCATACAGAATAAACCGTTTTCCGTCCTTTTCCAGAAGAACAAGGCAAACAAAAACGACACATGCAAAACATCGATATACTGTATCATACTGTATAATGTATATGTGTATGTATGATATGTTTATGATTGTTTACGTGAAATACCTCAATTCGTGTTGTTGCAGACGAAAACGACCATTTTGGGTGAGCGATCAAACGACCAAACCTTGCTTTTCGCGGGTGGACCCGACCCGAGAATCTCTGCCGTCTGGGGTCAAACGGCGGAGAAGATCTGTTTTCTCAGTCATTACAGCTGTATTATCTGGAGTTGCTACGGTTTTTGACGTTCTTTTATCAACGAACTGTTAAAGAATATACGATGTTGCTATGGGCAGGCCTGCAATACTCTTTGGGGTCATTATTGGTCATTATGAGTAAAAGCTATATGTGGACAACAACATGAACGTTATGTGTTTTTTCCACAATGAATAATGACCAGAAAAGTTTGGTCGTTTGGCTTTTCAGGTATATATTAATGACGAGCTAAACTATGCTAAACTTAACTTCACAACAAAGATCGTTGAGTTGGTTTCCAGTGGAACAATCAACCCTGTTCATGTTCCTCTGCATCGACTCCAGCTTTCCTGTTTCTTCCAAGTGACTAGGGGAATCCCCTGGTTTCATCGGGTTTGATGCCAACAAACCGGCTCATAAAAGGTCACACCGTCACAAACCATGTACTCCAAAAAGATCCAAACAGGTCACTTGGAAGAACCCATTTCACATCATTTCCCTATATCTACCGTTGGCCCCGTTCACCGACCCATCTATCTGGGTCACCCGAAAGAAGTGGAGAAAAATAAGGGAAGAAGCGACGTCGGTGTCGACCGACCCATCTGGGCTCTCCCGACCCCCGGTAATCCCAGAGCGCCGGGTCGGTGGTGCCCTCGGTGACGATGGGTGGCGTCGCGCGCATGATCTTCTTGAGGAAGACTCGGCGGAAGTCGACATCTGGTTGGGCCTGGCAGTCAGGGACCTGTTTGGGACAGCTGAGTCTAACAAGATTGAACACAGCCATAGAAATCATGCACATCAAACATCAAACCAAACCATACCATTAATTAATTCGTGCTACCGCAGTGTTGCGCATGGTTCTTCCATCTCGCTCCTCATTTCCGACTCTGTGATTCTCCGGGGTCCTTCGGATCTGGCTCTCCTCGCCTTCTCGCCCCAGAAGATAGAAGATGCTAGTAGCGATGCCCTTTGCTACTAGTAGCTTCTTGTGACTAGTTGTAATGCCAGGAGCTACTAGCGGCGTCTTGCTCCTAGCTCTCCTTGCCTTCTCGCCCCAGAAGATGGCGTGGCCGTTGGTGCCGCCCACACCGAAGGACGACACCTGCGGCAACGCGGCGGTTGCGGCCACCGGCCGGCTGAGCCGGCAGACTCGGCTCGCGTGGCACCGTTCGGCGGACTTGGTGTTGGGAGGTCGCCGGGACTGATGGATGAACCAAGATGATTTGATTAGGGATGATCTACAGGAAAAACCAAGGTTTTTCACGCCTCAATAGACTAGGTGTTTCTTTTTTGTAGCAAGGGTGGGGTAATTAGGTCATCCCTTGTAGGTGGAGCCAAGGAACATGGTCGAGATTTGTCAAAATGAGGAAATGCCCTTATCATTCGATCTTCTCTTATCCAACCCTTACCTGCCCCGAAACAAAAAGGGGCCAATTACACGCTCCTCATTCAGCAAATGTTCACCATCATGTCTTCACAGAACAAGAAAGAACTGCAATTAGCACTGGAAGACCTTCTCAATCCACTCACATCGCTATCTCACCGCCGCACGTTCCGTCGCGTCCTCCCTCCGATCCGGTCTGCGAGCGGAAGGTGCTGCCTGGCAATGGCCTTGGGCATATTTGTAGACCTGAGCCAGTTATATATGAGCAGTTGCTTGAGGCTTGTTCCTCGAAGCAGTTACATCAAAAAGTGGGAACATCCATTGCAATTAACTGGTGTTGTCGTTGTTGTTGTTGTTGCTGCTGCTGCTGTTGTTGTTGGTAGAAACAAAAAAACAGCCGCCCAACAAAATTGTCAATTGTCACATGTTGCAACTTGCAACCTTGGAACTTCAAGGGAACAAGGTTAGGGAGTATGATACGGTTGAAGGTTTGAGCGAATGTTGGTTTCGTAAGTAGGTGGACTTGTTGGACTTATTTCACTGAAGTCTGGGCTGGTCCATTTTTAGTGCTTTTGAGGTGTTGCTCTGGAGGGGGTCTCAAAAAACAACAGCGGGGCTGCAGTCTTTGTTTCTAGGAGGGGGTAGAGACAACAACACCTTTTGAGGGGGGGTCCAAAAAACAACAACGGGGTTGCAGCTTTTGTGTCTAGGATGTGGCAGAGGTTCCAAGTAGAAGTTTCAGAGAGGCTTAGCTGACCTGACCGGCTACTACTGCTACTACTAGTAGTAGGAGTAGCAGTAGTAGTAGCAGCAGTAGTAGTATCAGGCTACTACTACTGCTGCTGCTACTACTACAGAGTAGTATTACTAGGCTACTACTACTACTGCTGCTGCTGCTGCTCCTACTACTACTACTATTACTACTACGACTACTACTAGTACTAGTACCACTAGTACTGGCACTAGTACAAGCACTACCACTTGGCTGGCTGTTTTCGGGGGGGTCAAAAAAACAACGACGGGCCCGACGGGGCTGCAGATTTTGTTTCCACCCCCCTTGTAGAGACAAAGGAACAAGATATTTTGTAACGGGGCTGCAGCTTTTGTTCGTACCTTGTTGTTGTTGTTGTTGTTGTTGTTGTTGTTGTTGTTGTTGTTGTGAACACGTGACAAAACAACTGGTTCTTTTTGCCGTGGGGGAGGAGGACACCACTTCAGTGAAAAAAAAAGACCAGCACCCTCTTCACAGTTGCGATGATCTAAAGTGTGTCCCTTTTGAAAGCTCGCTGACACCTTTGTACGACTTCGTGTAGGTGAGTCTCGAAACAGCCATTGACCAGAGTTCCCTAGGAACAACCAAGAATCAACAACCATTGTGTTGTTTACCTGCCATTATGACTACGATGCTACTGGAGGTAGATGGAACTGTCTCCAGAAAAGGTACTTGATCCTTTCTGAATTGGAAGGCTCAGCAACCCGACACTTGGCCAAAGTATGGACCAGAAAATATGAACAATGACTCTCGACTCCCAGCGTCTCCAACTCATTCTCCAAACAAAAAAAACGTATTATTATAAACTAACTTACTTTAAAAAAGGAAGTCCAACAACAAGCCCTCCGTGCTACAGTACTTGTCCCAGTGAACATGAACAAGCATAGAGATAAAAAAAAAAAAACTTTTTTAAACACATGAGTTTGTTTGTTTAATAGAACAACAAAAACATAAAAGACCGAAAAAGGAGATAAACAAGAAGCGAGAGAGAGAGAGAGAAAGAAAAAGAGAGGGGTAACAAAGGTGTGGAGGGAGAGAGACGGGGAGAGACGCGGAGAATCCAGACCGTGAGGCGTCCAGAATCCAGACCGTTCTGGTACTCTAGTACCACCGCCCAAGATGGGTGGTTGACCAATTCAATTCCCTAAACCATGCGTTTACATGCGTTTCCCCATGTCAAGGCTCCTGCTCCCCCGCCAATACTCCTCCTCCCAACCAGTACTGGGTTCCCCTGGCGGTGTGCTCCGTGGTGTAGATCGCATCGAAGGCCGCATGGTCCAAGTGCGGATTCAGCGTTTTCACGTGCTGCGTGGGCAACTCGGCTGGCTGCCGTTGGCTCCGTGTTGGCCCGTTTTGGCGGCGACGTCGGCTTCGGGTGCGGACGCGCGGGAAGAGTTTTTCGCCCGCGACATGGTTTTTGTGTGGCGGCTTCTTCCCTTCAGGATTTGGGGCAGGAGTTGGGCTGATCGTGCTTTTAAAGCAACCTGAGGGTTGACATAGAAAGCCAGCTGTCTTGGTGTTAGTCTTGGGATGACAGATGATGACAGTGGGTGACTTATATGTGGTACAAAATTTTACACTTGTCCGCAAACAAACAAGGATCAATATGATCAATGAAGAACACACGTGGGATCTCCTCACTCAAGCACTCACAGTAGCCTGTGAGACTGCCATCTGGCCAGCTCCCACTCAGTTGCCACAGTGTGTCACCAGCTCATGAGGCCCGGCCCATACCAGATATACCAGTACCACCTATCATCTATCGTGTAGAGGCTGCCGGCTGTTCGACAGATTGGGCGTCAAAAAGGAGAAAAAGCAGAAGATGATAAGCCCGTGACTGCCATCGCATGCATCACGATGAGGATGCACTTGTTCATGGCGATGGCAGCAGCCTGTCAGTGTTGCCATCGTTGGAGGCCAGGCTCAAAACGGAGGTGAAAAGGGGTTAACATGGGTCAACTGATGTTAACTGTACCTCACCCACACAAGTACGAGTGAATGGTGACGATTCGGTAGGCAACGGCGAGTGAATGGGCACTATCACGGTTGCTCGTACGGGAGCAGCCGAGCTGGGTGTGGGCAGATTGATTCAAAAGAAACTTGAGCTCATCTCCCTGCCCAAGCCACACACAGTTCTAGCCTAAATGATGCTCTTTCTCAGGGACATTTGGAGCAAAACCATACAAAATCTCTCTCCCACCCAAACAAAAGGTGCCATGAAAACCACATCAACATCAATTACATACATACCAGCAGTTCCAAAGGGGTCGCTATGGGAGGACAAAGGTCCACTCACTTGGAGACTCCAACAACCACTAAGGGGATTCCTGAATACATGAATTTGCCTCAACTCAAATCCCTACAAAAACTCCACTCTCCACTGTCCGTGGGTCAAGGGTCCAAACGTTGCGCCCACGGTTCCGTCCGAACTTTCGGAAAAACAACAAAAATACGTCTGCGTCGCTATGCGTAGCTCGGGCACCCGACACTGCCCTCCAAGTGTCCCAAGTTGGACCTCAGAAAACCACCGTCACAAGGCGTTCCGAACAACCACCGTTGCGAGCTGGACCAGCTCGACCCAAAATGGAAGCCGAAAAGCATGCAAAAGCCCACAAAACACCCACAAACAAAGGCAAAACCAATGACAGTCAGTGGCAGAAACAACCTGCTCCCACTCCTCAGGACGCTCCCTCGCCTTTCCTTCGCATTCGCCCGGATCGCGCGCATCGCCCGCGCACGCAGAGGTACTCTGGGCGGCCGGCTTGCTACTGGCTATCAACAAGGGCTCAGCTCGAGGCTCCTTAATCTGGACCTGGAGGGCGATCGTGAGGCATGGGATCCTTTTTTTTTTCAGATGTCGACAGCTGTTGATTGCCACATCCCCTTCAAAAACAAAATGGCCCAACGCCCGAAAGGTTCATGAAACTCCTCACAGCTTGGATTGGGTGACTTGTTTCGTCAGCCCATGACCTCGATTGATACCGCTTGACCCATCCCGCCCTGCGCCTTTCGGATGGCTCCCACTTCGATGGGATCGCCCAAGGAGGTCCTTAGAGCGGGGTGCCGCAGCCCGCACGAGGGCGCCGTGCTGCGCAATGCAGTGTCAGATCGTATCGATGTGTTGTGACACGTGACGGGTGTGACATGAATTGGAACGTGGAATTCTACGATGAAGTCCCGCCTGAAAGGTGGTCCTTGGCCATATAAGTCGCATGTGAAAAGAACGATGCAATTGACATCCTGCCATTCTCCTTCCCAGTGGAGCCCAGTTACCACTACATCAGGAACCAGGGTGTCTCGATTTAGTCCTTGGAACCACTGGCTATATAATGCTATAGCCTTCATGACCTCCTCCACCACCTCCACCCGCCCCGACCAGTCTCTATCCAGCGGTCGCGCGGTGCGCCCCGGGTGTCCGTGCCCGGTGCCGTGGCACTCCCACACCGTGGACTCGGGGGGGACGCCTTGGACCGTCGACTGGTCGACCGACGTTCGGTGCGGAAACCGACCGTCACGGGGCAAGCGCAAGCTTTTAAGAGAGTACTTTGGGGATCGGAAACGGTGGAAAGTGGAAACTCCACGCAGGTGCACAAACTGGAGAAGCTCAACGGGCAAAATAATATATCTATGAGTGGCAGGTGAGTGTCTTTAATTTAAGGCTTTAAAAATTATGATCTTGCAACACCAAAGGACCCGAATCCAGGGGCAGGGGCTGCTGGATGTTCACACAAATAAGACCGCACATGACCAAACATTGAATTGCTGACTAACTACTGCTGTCAGATATTTCCAGCGAAGAAGGGTCGATGATGGTCGATGTGTCTTTCCAGCTTGGTCAGGAAAGACATCTTCCTACAGCTCAGAAGTCTACCCGCCAAGATTCCCAAAGAATCTGAGTCATACTTTGAGTCTCCTGACCTCTGTGTTTCGTCTGGAAGACTCGTGAAGCGGATTGGAGCCGCAGGGCCCGCAGCTTTGACCCAGCGCCATCGGGCCAGCCCGTTGGATACACCTCGGCCTCCGGACATCTTGGCTTCCCGCAAAGCACCCCACACCTATAGGACACGTGTCCGGGAAGGCACGGGGCATTTTATAAATATATGCGGGATTATTATTAATATATGCATCAAGGGTCTATGATCCCAAGATTTCTCGAGTTCCAACTCCTCTCACAGGCCACCCATCGGGACGGGACTTCCCTCCAAAGAAGACCCCATATCCATTTCCGCGCAAGCGCCCCGTGCGGACGCCAGTGCGGCTTACAGCAAAACTGATATTTGGAGACTAATGCATTTTCCTGAGTCACGAATGATTCTGTAATTAATGACATGAAAACACACTCCATGTCTCCGGTGAGGAAAAAACAACTAAAAACGATTCCTTATATTATATATATATATTCCTTCACCATATCTTCACTGCCGCAATGCATCGACGAACGCATCCATGCTCGGCCGCCGAACGCACTTCTCCTGCGCCGGCCCGTTGGGCGCGGACCTCGGGCAGATCACCGATGCGCGGAGATGAAACGATGGTGGAAAACGCAAGCGACGTCTGAAACACGAACGCACCCCCTTGGTTCTGTGTTGTTTTTGTTTTGGGGAGACCTGCCACCATGGCTTCTATAGGTCCCATTTGTATCCGAGGCCTGCAAGACCTTGCGGCCACTCTCACCGGATCGCAAGCTCCACCGCAGCGTCATGTCCGGAGCCAAGCGCGATGACGATTTGGTGAATTTGGGGGATGAGGTCTTCAAAGCAATTTAACACTGATTTCAGTCCACAATGATTCCAAACAAGCGCTTTTCTGCTTTCAAAATTTGTGCCCACTATTCCTATGCTTGGAGCAGTCTCCAAACATTTCCAGGTGCATTATGTATATCTCCGAGTCTCCGAGTGCAAAAATGTGTCGACGGGTGTACTTTCACGAACGCGCGACAAAGTGTGTGTGTGTGTGTGCGTCAACACCTGTTCGCAAGGAAGATGCACAGACGACTTAACAAGTACTGAGTTCATGCACGACAAACGCAGGGGGGCAGTGATCCTTTCAACAGTCACTGCCTAACAAAGACGCTGTTGATCGGATGTGATATTCGGAGAGGATGCTCTCTGAACGTACCTGCAGAATTTTGGGTTAAACGATAGTGTTCAGGCTGACTCTTTCAGTTTACCGTTCTGCACATGACTGTTGACAGGTCCAGGCTCCAGCGCTCTAGATCGGTATTGTCATCACTATAGAGTGGATTGCCTTAACTGATTTAGCTCTTGCGAGTATCAATCTAAGTGCGTTTCGCCACAGAGTCCCACTGCGGGCTGTGGTGTGATCCCCAGCGAGGGGCGCAGCATGTGCACATGCCCTTAAGGGTGCCTCTCCCGGAACCCCGTCCTGCACCTGATCCTTTCATCGTGATCCCGGCTTGATCCATCGTTCTGCTCGAAAGTGCTGATCATACGCCGCAGGGCTTACTGAGATCAAACTCCAGAATGGATTCGTACATGCGGCTACGTAGTCACATGCCCACGCCATGCTGCTAGGTAAACATAGGCCACTGCTAAGTAGTCACATTTTGGTTCTTTCTTTCCTGCTGTTGCTATTCGTTTTCAAAGTCTTTTTTCGCTTTTCTAGAGGCTTTTTAGGTGTAATTCAGGCCTTTTAGTCAAGGGTGCGCCGCTTGCGGCTTTTCGTCACGCCTTCGGGCAAGGACCCCCCCCCACCCCTCCCACCCTACACCCTTCGCACCTTTCTTACCTTGCCTTTTTCGTTTGCTTGGGCTTTCCTTCAGGGTTGTTAGGTCGGCGTTTTGGCTCGTTTAGTCAACGCACGCCCTGCCCACACCCCCGCACCCCTTGCACCTTTCCTTTCTTTCCTTGCCTTTCGTTTGCCTTGTTCTTTCTTTCAGGCTTGTTAGGTTGGCATCCAGGCTCGTTTGGTCAATGCACTCCCACACCCTCTTTTCTCCCCCCCTTCCCCACAGACAAAAAGGAGCGCGCGCCGAAATGACGGCTTTTTGTGTGTGTCAACACCTGTTTCCAAGGAAGATGCACAGACGACTGAACAAGTATGGAATTCATGCACGACAAACGCAGGGGGGGCAGTGATCCTTTCAACAGTCACTGCCTAGCAAAGACTGTTGATCGGATGTGACATTCGGAGAGGGCACTCTCTGAACGTACCTGCAGCATTCACCCATGATTTTTGGTTAAACAATACTGTGACTCTTTCACCTTACCGTTCTGCACATGGCTGTTGACAGGTCCAGGTTCCAGCGCTGTAGATCGATATTGTAATCACTAGAGTGGATTGCCTTAACTGATTTAGCTCTTGCGAACATCAATCTAAGTGTCTGTGCTGTGTGGGATTTCCCCAGACATGTGCCAACCCAAACCCCTCTCCAGTCCTCAAAACCATCTATTCGGCTTTGGCGGTAATATGCGGTGGTTATTGAGAATGTCTTGAATCCAACATCAAACCGCAGCGTCGTTCCAGGTTCTTAACCCACACAAACACACACTTACCCAGAAGTTTCCGCTTCTTCCAGCAAGCTCGGGGACGTGTCACGTCCGTGACACATCGTGACCCACGTTTCCGAGTCACGCTCGGCCTCTGAGACCCCGCACATGCTGGCGCTGCGGCCGTCCTGGCCGATCTGAGACCCACGGAAGTAGGCCAACCTGCCGTGCTCTGCTGAGCGGCACACGGAGAACGACGAGCTGGGAGCGAGCTGCGGGTGCTTTTTGGAGAAAATCCAAACGGGCAGAACACGATCTTGGGCACCCGAACTATTGTAGATCTCGGGTCTTACTGGGTCCACTGTTGATGTTTATTTGTGGCAGCTGCAGAAAAGCACAAAAAGGACTCCACTTCGAAGTGCATAGGCCCTGCTTTGAAAAGGAAACAGCTCAACTTCAGATTTATTAAGTTTGACTTTGGACCCATGGATGTGGATTGAACAAATGCTCACTGGATATCACACCATCTTGATCCATCTTAAACCATTGAACCTCAGGCCGCACCCTGACGTCTCGCTTCGCCCTCACGATGCCCTTCCGCCCGTCCGCTCGGCGTCCCCGGCCGCTCGTTCTCGAAGGTGCCATTCCTCGAGGGCGGGGGGGGGGGGCTCCGCCCTTCACATCCGGCCGCGGTCCGTCGCGGGGAAACGGACCAGAACACCACCGTCTATGGTGACAAAAAACGCAAAAACAGGACTCCACCGTCACCTGTAACCTGAACTTGGTGAATGTCTATGGTCCTTGTAATTTTACCAAGTTCATCCAACTTCACAGGAAGGGGAAACCATACGACCAGGATTGTGAGACTTTCACCCGCCGCTTTCATTCAAAGGAAAGGGATACAGGAGGATCACCGGGTCTAACTCTACAAAAGGGCAGATGGGGGTGGAATACTTACATTTTTTGTTAATTAATAATGTATGCAGCTGTGGGGGGACAGGTGTCTACAAGTCTTCTCGATCAATAGGGGGCTTGAGATACGGACAAAGGATGTCTCAAAATAACATATAGATTATCATAGTGTTTCTGGAAATGCCAGCTCCAGGATATGTCTGACAGGTCGGGGGACAGCAGAAAAACGAAGTGAAATAAAGCAGCTCAGGGGTGGGGGCACCCCCGACCCATACACATCGAAGTGGGACTCAACCGGGTGATTCGGGGCCAGTGCGAACAGGAGGGGAACAGGGTCAAGGCCATAGATGCCTACATTGACCCCTCAAACCACCCCAACTGATCGGCATATATGGCAGTCCCATGGAGCGTCTGAGTACGTATGACACACAGGGCGTTCGAGATTCCAGGCACCACGGGGGGTACCATTGATGCACGGCCAAACCATGTACGATGATTGCACCGGGGGACTACCAGGGGCTGGTGGGGGGAATTCGGGATTGAGATTCAGTGTTTGGCTGTTTAAAATATGGGGAGATGGACCCCAATTAAGCCATACATGTGCATGTCATTCTGTCAAACTGTCTTAAAGGCGGGTGAGTGTCACCACCTTTTAAGGAAGCACGCAGCATACTGGGTAATTATCAAGGAATTGTATGCAAGTCCGGGGGAATCGCTCCCATATCATATATTGTTACCGGCAAAGCTTCCGGGGAAAGCGCGCTTGGCCCTCGTTGCTGGAGGGGGCCTATTAGTAGGAAGCTCCAGCCCTAGTGCTGAGTTTGTATGAAGCCATGGGGTTGAACAATTCTGGGGAAATCGTGGCCATTCGCAGGAAATTTTAGGATGTTGATGTTTGTAACATATAGTATGAAAGCAAGGAAGGGAAACCACCCTCAGGAGCAGCACACGTTTGTCAAGGAAATGTATGAAAGGGGGGCAGGGAACTCCATAGTCATCATATCAACCAAGTAAACAAATGTGCAACATCATTTCCTGGGAATGACATCTGGACACCGAGGAATTGCATATCTTGTTGACGGGCTGGAGGACGTATATTATAGTACCCCAAGTATACACTTTTATGTAACCCGGTGATATACAAGGTATCCTGCCTGTTTATTGGACAAACTGTCACTGATCAAAGTAGCAGGTCATCCCAGCTTCAACCGTTATCAGTCCACCCACCCGGTGTGAAAACAGCGGGAATGGGGCCATGTCGGGCCACGAATGGAATAGATTCGTGTGATCGATTCATGTCCTTTCGGGAGATTCTTTTTTATGGCTTTGGGACATGAAACCACGAGAACACCTGCACCGTTCGGTCACCTTGGCAGCGTTTCGCAGGTCTGAAGCGCTTCGCAGGTCTGAAAAGTCTTGATTTCGTGTGCCAACTCTTCTCCAGGAGAGACCCAACTGGAACATCGAAGACCAGGGTTCATCACTCTTGTTCCGCTTATTTGTGTTATATATTATATACACAATTATCTTAAATATATATATAGTACATATAAGCCGCAACAACATGTGGCATGTATTGCAAAATGATACAACATTAATATAATGTCTGCAGAGGGTGTTGGTTCGACTGAAATTCACACCAAATGTTCACGCCATGTCCTGGATGTGAAGCCATTGCTGGTACAGGTGATACCTAACCATCAAAGATTCACTAGATCCTAAGTGATCCCAGTGGCCAAAGGTCTCTGCCCTGACTGGTATCTTAGATCGTCTTTGGAACCAACCTACTTGCAATTGACGAGATCAAATGCGATGGATCCAATGAGATGTTGGGATGAATGAAAGCAACACTCAGAAATATTTAACACCATTTATGTTTGACATTGTTTGACTCTAGATGCTCTCTTTATACATCCTTTCTGCGAGTTGCCGTTCTACACGAACAAAAACACTGTAATAGATACACTGCGAGCGACGACGCAGCCGAGTCTCTTGATGATGAAACCCGCCGTGCCATCGCCACGGTTGTAGCCGTTGGCTGTGGCCTCATGGAAGGGACGGGAAAGGCCCATGGGATGTGAGAGGGTCGGAGGATTGGTTGCGTCTGCTTATGAAAATGCCACTGAAATGGTATTATAGTGGTTACAAAGGCCATGGGCACCTGGATTTTACAATTTATAAGGGGGGTTGGAACCTGATATGGTATTTTTATGTATTTTTACAATAGGGAGACCCCCCCCCAAAGACCAGCAAAGACCAGCATCCAGCATCCACTCCAAGGACGGCACGTTGAAGGTAAAGCATCGGCCGCCGGGCGAGAGCATGTGCCTCAGAGGCGAGGCAGAAGTGTTCAGTGTTTACCAAGGCTTCCCCTCTTCGGTGGACCACATTGGACCACCATCTCGATGGCTAACAGAAGCTCCACCACGTGGCGAACGTCTCAGGGCGAAGGTCTCCACGTCTCCAACATCGCGAAATCGGAAGACATCGACATCACTGAAACCTGTCGGTACCAGGCGGATAACCAATAGCTCCCATGGACTCTGGAGCGGGTCGATTTGGAGATCTGTGGGCGAGCAAAGCATGTTCGAAATGGGGTGAATGTGAATGGATGAACCCTGGTGTGCATAGTGATTCGCGCAGGGCGCAAAGCATCCACCAACCGGATGCTTAAGACATCCCAAATGAACAAATGAACCTTCAAAATCAACTACACTCTGACTCTGACGAACACGTCACATGGAAGTAAACAATGGTCCCTTTGGAAGACTATCCTTCACATAACAAGGGGGAATTCCAGGGTGAGTGACTAAGTGCGTGAGTGGGAGTGTATCATGGAAGCAGCCCGAGTCCCTCCGGAGAGCGAGGCTCGGGTCCCTCACGCAGCGCAGCCATGGATGAAGGAGCCCACCGTTAAGGTGAGGCCAGTGCCCATGCCCAAATGCCACTCCAAAGGATCCCACCTGCGAAGCGCTTCGCTGCGGAGCTGTTTTGGGAATGGTGAATCAATGCGAAGCATTATGTTTACCAATATTCAATATATATATATATAGACATGTTTGATACTCAAAACCTATAATACTGAAAACTCTTAACATCTCATTATAGAAGTTGTTTTGTGCTCAAGTGCTGCAGGGAACCAATCGCGTAATTAGCCTTGAGTTCCCTCTTTCCTGTGCGGCATGCCTCTTCCATCTGAGACCTGGACATACCTGGACGGCGCCTCCTGGAAAAAGAACATCCCCCCTCAAAATAAAAACACGCGTTGTACGACGTGTCCTGCGCCAGCTGGCAGGCGCAGTCCGCAGTCCGTCTGTATGACCCCGCTCCGCGGTCGAGACTGCACCCTGGCGGTCGAGACCGCGCCTCTGCTCCAAGAGATTGACCTTTCCCAGGTGCGTGGCCTGGGCAGTGTCATCCGGGACGGCCACCTTCGGAAGAGGTGGAGGTTAAGAACACCAAGCCATGATTGCCATTCCACCGCCCTGGTGTAGGAGGTTTTAAACTAACCTGGAAGCCCCCAACAACCAAAGCGCCGAGACAGTCACCCCATTCCTGGAGGCCCCGAGCCACCAGGGAGGAGGAGCACGCGGTGTCGCAGGCATAGCTTCCACCTGTGAACCGGGCAGACCGCGCGGCTGTGGGGATGCATCCGCGAACGCACAACTGGTGGACTGTGGACTGGCTTAAATACTTTGTTCAAGTCATGCACGCTGCGCTTAACATGGTGTGATGATCACTATGTCATCTGCGACCTGTCATTGGACCCCATGCGAACGACAAAGGTCGAAGCATTCCTCCCTGATGCTGATGAGGAGCATCCCCCAAGATCCCGAAGAATTGGGCTGTTCATCAGACTAGCTGGCACTGGCCACCTGCCCGACGTCGGACTCACACCCTGCTCCTTTCAGACTTTTTAGAAGACTTATTTTAAGAAAGTGATGAACGTCCAGTATTGTTCAGAACTTCTTTGTGCAGCCCCTTTCCCATAGAAAGGGATCCTTTTCTTCATTGCCCTGTCAGAACTCATATCTTGCTTTCCTCTTCGGCACCTTCCCAAGGCTCGCCTTTCAGGTTGAAGACGTAGTTGAAGCGATTTGCCACGATCGCCAGCTGATTGTTGGTGGCCACGCTGGTGGCCACTGGCATCTGCGTCCACTCCTGCGGGGAACATTGAACTCTTACGGTTTTCGGTACATTCTGAAGGCACCAAGAGACGAAAAAAGCAAACTCCAACTGGCCAAGTAGAGTCACTGTGCACCTCAATATTAACCGGAGAAAATTGGATTCTTGGCAACACATGGCAACACCAGAATTGGAGAACGTGGGACTTTCCGGAGTCTGTCACTCAAGCCCAACGCGCCCAAGAACGCGCAAGCCCAACGCGCCCCACTTCTGCGCCGAGACGGACGCAGGAGTCTCCTGCTTGTCCAAACCCACCGAGACGGACGCATGGGTCGACTTGCTGTTGGCCAACCTTGGTCAATTCGAGCATGAGACGAAGCAATTGTTACGAGACGAAAGCGCTCAAACAGCAAGAGACGAAGTGTCTGAGGTCGGGAAAAATTGAACACATTCAACTGCTGCAAAACTTAGATGTTAAGCTCACTCCACAATAATTTGGTCGGGTTCTCATCTGAAAAAGAAGAGAGAAATCAGTGACTTTAGCTGGTGGAAGCAGTGGTCTGGTTCCCTTTGAATGCCATTGATCAGCTTGATCAAACAAGTCTGGAGCATTCTGGAGCTGACTCTGACCCCGAGAAACGCCCCTAAGATCTCAGCAAACAACATAGTCAACATTGCCACTGGAGAAGTACACTTTGGATTCGCCGGGATGTGGGAAGAATAAAAAACAAACATGCCCAAAACCCAAACGGATCCTTAACAAACCAAAACATCCAAATGTCCAGCCTTTCTGGGTGTTCTTTCATGTGTCATGCCTCTTTTACCGGTCACTCATTGAAACTGCAACGCTGCCGCAATGTTCGCCATCAATCCAACAGGGCGGGCTGAAGTCAACAACAGCGCTGTCGTGGTTAGTGGTTCTGGTGCAGAGTTGAGAGAACCGTGTTCGAGTCGTACGAGTCGTGACACCAGGTGCATTCGTTCCAACTCGAACCTCTGTCCGACTCGTGTCGATCAAACTCCAACACGATCACACCCCACGTGGTGTGATGGTTGGACGACTGTGAGGTGCTTCAAACATCTTCTGACTGGTGCTTAGTGGGAATGAACCACCCCTGTGGGCCCCTCTGGATCCATTCCCCTATTCCCTACTAAGCACCAGTCAGTCTTGAAACTCTCTTTCTCTTGGAAGAACTTTCCAACGAAGACGTCCCTTTGGAGCTCAGTCCAGCTCCACCCACTGTACGCGGTTTTCAGTCCAAGGGCTTCTTGGTGAGGCCAATCTGAAGCGTGGACAGGTATCCCACCTGCACAGTCACTGGTGAGCTGCAGAAACGACCGAGGAACTGGCAATTTCAACAGCAACTCTGGATACCTGGACCCTCATTCAGAAATGCTGCCTGAACTGGAATTCTAGCCTTCACGAGCTCCTATAAGGGTCCAAAAGTCTCAGGAGGCTCCTCAACACCTTTGAATTGCTGTCTGTGAAAAGAAAAATAATATAGAAAAATGTGTTTTTTTAAACTTCGCCATCCCGAGCAGCCCGGCGACCACCCCATTCTTCGGTGTTTGCCCCACCAACACCGAAGTGCTGCAGGTCGTCTCCCCCGATGTCGACGTCCGCCCGCCGAAGCGGGTCGCCTCCATGACCTGCCGGAACATGGGGTCCATGCACTCCGCCTGGACGATCACGGATCCCGTCCCTCCGAGCCAGGGGGTTTTTGGCGGGGTGAAGTGGCTCCAATTCTGGTGCTCAGCAGAAGGAGGGAATGAGACGACTCATTGGAGACTACGACCTTAGATTCATTCCCTCATTCCTTGCGAAGCACGAGTCGGAAGTTGGGGCTCCGGCTGGACGACCGGTCGTCCGGCAATGGTGTGATCTCCCTGAGACTTAGACTGCTCGAATCGAACACGTCGAGGCGCCTCTGCTGGGGCTCAAACACATTCCACTGACTTGCAGAAAGATCGCCCTAAAACATCCTTAAAACGTGCAAGAACGATGTTGGGTAACGTACAAGAATGGAGTGTTTGTTTCCCAACAGCCCCACGTGAGTATTGGTTTACCATGGTTTACCATGGTTTACCAACCCTTCATCGCTTGGCAAACTCCATCCAAAATCAGTGGCTTCTTGATCTTTGCCGAGAAGCTGAAACAACAAACATATCCCAACTTCATCTCATCCACTTTTGCTGGCTTCCCGGAAGGACGAATTGAGGTCGCATCTATCCGTTCAATGTGTCAAGCATCCACCGCACGTCCTTCCTATGTCACGTTCGGAAGGGGGCGACGATGGACCCAGTGAAGCCGATCGAATTCGAACAAACACAGGGCGGTTGCACCCGGGATGTCTGTTGGTCTAGTGTGTGTGTGTGATTATACCGATGACATGGCTGCTTGCGACCCGATACCCCAGCGCATGTACCGAAGCGATGCGCCTCCATGTTGGAGATTTCGAAGGCTTTGTTGTCAAAGAGTTCCACACCTCGAAACGTCTCTGTCCAAACAACGTCTCTGTGTCCCAGTCGGCTGGGAGATCGATCTTGGGATGGCCCTTTCCATGGTCAGCACACGCGAGTCGAGTCTATTGCTTCTACAGCCTACGCATCCAAGACAAAACGTAGTCACGTAGTCCCCTCATCCATCAGCCTCCAGTTCACTCAATGATGTGAGATTCAACCTCATCGACCATTTGTTCTACCCGGAGGCAAAGGGAATAACAACGGATGGGATGTTCCAACAGTTGGATCAACCAGAATTGCTGCGATGAATTGGAACAACCGCCGAAGAAAACCATCCAACATCGCACCATATACAGGGAACGGCGAAAGTCACCCCACACTGTCGGAATCGTGGAGGCCGAAAAATTTTTCTCTCCCCCATGGAATCGTGGAATGTACTCCATTAAAGCAACAATACACCTACATTGGATCTATCCTATTGCGGCGCCGTCGCCGTCGAGGCACCGTCTTGCACCGAAAAGTGCTTCACGAAGGTGGTACCCATGGGCATGTCGACTTCGTCGCTGTAGTAGGGTAGGTATTCCTCAGTGGCACATGTCACACCGGGCGCCGGGCGCGAATGCCTGGTACATGGTGGTTCGATATCTTCCAATCCCAGGAACAACTCTAATTGGGTATATGTGCCCCTGTTCGTGCCCATCTTGCATGGCTCGCTGAAGTGTCGACGGCTAATTATGGAATGTGGAGTGCTTCACCTATGCCCACTTATAGGCGGGAGCTAAATACATTATTCATGCACACAAAAGTTGTGGGTTGCAAAAAAAAAACCTATATATATATATATATCGCCCTCAAAATACGGACTACGTGCGGGCTTCAGAATGGGTGTCGGTAGACAACGGTGGACCCTCTCATACCCTCCCTGCAGATGGACGTGGGTCTGAAATGCCTAAACTAAGCACCCCAGTTCGCAGATGCACTTCCTGTGGATGACAGTGTGCTTATTGGATCTTATTGGGATGTTTATCAGTTATACCTCCTACGGACACATGGACCATTTAGGTGATTGTGATTGAAGAATAAACAACCCACAAACACGCAGGTCATAGTTGTCATTTAAACCAGCCGTGGGTTTGGGATGCTACCAGGGGGACTAGAAGGCTAATGTTATCGGGTACGTGCTCTCTTGCTGAGCCACAACTTGAAGACCAGCAGCCTGAGGAGCTGAACCCATCGACTCACAAACAACGCTGAACCCATCGCTCTCCGACCCCTTCGACGATCAACACCGCTCAGCGTCAAAGCGGGTGATGGGCATCTCCAGCTGCGCGTCGCAGCCGGCGGTGTAGGCCGCCCACCTGGCTCCGCACCACCAGAGCTGGTGGTTCGGCTCGCTGAGATTGGCTGAGATTGGTAGTGATCATGATTTGGTTTGGATTTGGACTGGATTTGGATTTGGTTTGGATTTGGTTTGGATTGGTTCGGATTGGATGGGTGCCGGGACAAATGCAAAGAACAACCTACCGAGTACCGACCTTGCGATTCAATCATGAGAACCTGTTGTTGCAAAGGGTGCCATGTTGAAGAGCAGTTGTTTCAAAGTCCTGTCATCCGCAGGCCATACAAACATGTCATGTCGAGTTGGAATTTCCTTTGGCAAGGTGAATTCTTCAGCATATCGGGGCCCTTAGCTTGTGCCACATATTTCGTGGATACAATATGATGCAATGCCCAGGTCCGGACCATGGTTGGACAAACCGAAAACTACTTGTTGTTCCAGTCCGGAACAAGTTGATCGTGTTTGACCATGTTTGTACTTTGGTGAAACCAACGTTGGAACACGTTATGACCTGTTATGACCGGCAAAACCGAGGGTGGATCCTGCAGGCTGCGAGCCCCAAATTCGTTTGGGGTCGGGGTCGGGTGATTCGATGATCTGACACCAAAAGACACGACGAACACAAAAAATCATTGACCAGACAGGAGAACGGAGGCTCTTTGACCGAAGGAATCAGTGGGGTATAGTGAGGCATAGTGAAGGAATCAGTGGGGTGAAGAAAGATGAATCAGGATGAACCACTCTTTCCATGTCGCAGAGTTGGACGAGAGACGGTTATCAAGAGATACACTATACTGCCGGACTGAAAGTGGCTCTATGTGGTACCGGCTCTACGATTGTGGCTCTACGAATGTCCGTCTCATTTTCCTACACTGCCCCAATGCCTCCAATGCCCCACAAATAGTAAAGGTTTGCTGGGAGGCATTCTAACTGTCAGCCCGGCTACAGTGTTTTGCGTCAACTGAGCTCTATACAGTACACATATTATACATATAGTCATATAGTCTATATAAATAATCCCAGGTACGCCTCAATATGTTTTTAAAGACACGTCTCAGGTACGCCTCAATGTGCTGGGAGGCATTCTAAGTGGTAGCGAAACCCTGGAATCCCACCCCCCCGGTAGGCATTCTATCTTTCAGTCCGTCGGTATAGTCAACTTGAGAGAGGAGGGGGTGAACGAAAGGTAGCAGGCAATCACAAGTAACCCTCCATGACGGCGTGAACCGGCGCAGGGGGGGTTTGATCCAGGGGGGGCCCCCCCCGACTTACAGAATCAACTCTTACAGGACCAAATTCAATGCACAATCCCAACTCCTGATTGTAATTTTGCTAAAGCAAGGAGAACTCAGGTAGCTCAAGCTACCTTTCGTGATTATATAATTAGTAAGTCTCTTTCTCTGATTTCATTGCAGGGATTGACAAACAAGCTGCAATACGTTTGGACACCAAACATGCTTACGGTGCTGCTGGGACAAAACAATACTTACAAAACTGAAAGGTCAGAGGAGCTGAGATGGTGAACCTTTGAAGAAGATCACCATTTCTTGTGTCCTGCTGTCAGTTCCATGTGAGGGAATGTTCAGAGAGCCACCCCTACGATCCATGAACAGCACCCCTTTTTTTTTTCACCGCTGGGTGTGATGTTTCGTTCATTCGGCCCGGTTCACGGCCGAGTTCCGTGGCAACCGACGGACCAGGCGGTGTTCAACCGACGGACTACGCCCTGACCCCCCCTTGTCCATCCCACAAGAGAAATGGAGAACAGTCATGGAGTCTAAGAAATGGAGAACAGTCACCGACATTCCGCCTTAACTTGGATGTCTACGAACGCACGCTCTTCTTCAAAGATCTGTCGATGTTTCGCTTTAGTCCAGAGTCTACCTCTATCAGGTCATCTACTGACTGAGGTGAAAAGTTGAAATTTCTGAAGAAGTCTCTGCAAACATCTTTGGGCTCCCCAGCTCTTTGTGGTGGTCAGTCATCTTCCCGCACGCTTGCAAGGACAAGGCCACCTGAGAGCATCGGCGCCGCCGAAAGTGTTCAGTGGTTTCCGTTCACCGAAATACAGGTCATCGAACCCTGGCAGTACTCACCAAGGCGATTGTCTGATAGAAGACCGAGTCAAACCAAAGATTGAAAGCAGAGTCAAATGGATTTTAACCATGTTTAACCCATCAATATTGATTAATACTGATTGTGCGGTCCTCACAATTGATTGCACCTAAACCTGTCTGACAGCCGAAAAGCAAGCTCATCTGCTTCCATCTTCCAATCATAGTCATACAAGTAATATCCAAGTCTATAATTAGGGGTCCCCAAATAGATCGAACAGGAGTCCAACACATTTTTCTGGGGATTTACTGTTCTATTATTCTACTATTGGATCGATCCATATACTACCTGAAAAAAAAACGCCTACTTTCCCGGTCCGATGGTCTGGACTCCCGGGTTGAGGCCCCGGGAGGCTCGTCGGTGCGCACACGGTGCTCCAAGGCACCACCGCCACCACCTCAGAGCCCGATGGAGGCGGTGGTCCATCACCTGCCAAGCGGTTCCATTCACGTTTTCCGGAAAACCATGTGGTGCTGTTTAGCATGAACTGACACGAGACCATCACAACAAAAGCAGCAGCAACAACAACAAATTCCTTTTGCATGCATTGATTGCAGTTTTTGATTCCAGTTACGTTAAGTTCGGGTTGACTAGGATTCAACAACACAATATAATATGAAAGCCATGTTTTCCCTGCAGCCAAATGTATGGTCAACATGGAAGCCATGTATCGAAAGCTGAGGAAGGCCTACATTCACAATGCCACAAGGTGGTGACAGCGGTTGGAGGCCTTGAGAGAGTTCATCTGGGGATTGTTTTTGCAGGATTGTGGAAAGCATGGGGCATCCCAGCATGTTAGGATGAAACAAGGAGCAATGAGGTTTTAAGGAATTCCTTAATTGTCCAGTGATCCAGTAATTATGCGTCGATCTGTATCAACTAACAACCAACTTGGAGCAAATTGGAAGCAAGTGGCCCACCTGCAAGGTCTAAGCGAAACATCTTTATGATGTCGTCTTCGATATATTATCATGAAATCTTCCTTTGGGGATTCATATCACACAGCACATCCCTCTTCTAAACCATGATGGGTTCGCGCAAATCTGATTTGCGCAAGTTCGGATGCTAACATGCCATCCATGGCTTACTACTAGTAAGAAGAAGCTACTAGGGCCTCCTGGCCTTACTACTAGGAGCAAGGACGCTACTAGGCTATCCCTTTTGGTCCACCGATTCTTCGCTTCTCGGGGCGCCTCGGCTGACGAGGAGGCTCAGGTCGCCATCGATCAAGTCGCCCAGCGTCCACGAGGGCCCCGCGCGCAGCAGGAAGGCCCTGTCGGCGACCCGCGGTCGATGGAGGCCGATGGAGGTCGGGCCTTGCTCCTAGTAGTACGGCCAGGAGCCCCGTTCGTAGCGTCCGATCGCTCCTAGTAGCGATGCCAGGAGCCCCTAGTAGCTTCTTGCTTCTAGTATTGTTCGTGGCCTTGCTTTGGTGGCGGGGGGGATGCGGACAAAGCCACAAAGCCACGAACATCCCAGACAGGCCGTGTTTCACGGCTGCAAAGTTTCAACATGGGCCGCAGAACGGGTCCTGGAATTCGGTGTTATAGCCGGCCAAAGGTTGTGAGGACTGACTAAAGCGTATAATATATACAGCTTCAGTGGGTCAAGAATACCTGATGAAATCATCAACTCCGCCACTAATGACTTCGGGGTAATCACTTCGTGACTTCGGCTGCGCTGCTCAAGCCTCTGGCCCAAATTGGATTCCAAGCTGGAGACACACGCGGCTGCTTCCCTCCCTCAGCCAAAAGAGTTGGATCCCCTGGCTGAAGCCAGAACGCATCGCTCTCATCCTCCGGTTCATCGCACCTCAGAAAGCGCAAAATCATGCGTGCGAAGGGTTGGGTGGAGCCCGGGCCAGGGTTGAGCCCACCATCAACCGCAACCTTTTTGGGTCATGATGATTTATGGTTATAGTAAGGATGTTATAGGATGCGATCGGAACCTCTTCAGACTCAAAATGGTCGGCCCTCCTTCCCCTTTACAGCTGAATAAATAGGGTCCAACCCAAACATACCCAAACCATAGATGTTCTCCGTTACTATATGTTACTATATATACTCTACGATGTGTGGGGCCTCATGAAGTTGTGGGACTCAAAATAAAAGGCTCGAAAGGTCTCAAATCTTGTACGTCGTGTCAAATCTAAGCGTGGGCCAGTCAGAACTCAGAATTGGGCCAGTCAGGTGGGTTTTGAGGGTGCGACCAAGTAAACGTGGACCTGTAGTTGCTCCACCTATACTATACAGTACATTACAGTACTAGATAGGTTCCAAACGCCTCCAAACCCAAAACCTCTTGAATGGTCCAGGCAGTGGACAAGGCGGTGTCACAGCTGATGGTCAAGGTCTATGTTTTCTTTTCAGCCTATGGCCAAGCGCAGTTGCTGAACAACAGCTAAGCACTTCACCAAAAATCGAAGGTGTCTTGTCGGACCAGGAGGATCCTGGCGGGAGAATGAACGCTCGGTCCAGGCAGGGACAGTGAGATTCGCAGCACAGGCAGGGACAGGCATTCCTCTGTTATAACAGGCCAGCTCCACGTGTTTGGACCAGCAGTGATCTCCTCAGGGCAGCTGACGTGACAGCTGGCTTTTTTGAGTAAGCTCTTGAACGGCAAGTCTTGTTCCGAGCGGATCTTAGGGATGTCCCGAACCGCTTCTCCAACTGTTATGACACATTTTAGGTGCAAACAAGGATCGTAACTCTCTTCCACCTTGCTGAGTGGAGCATCCTCTTTTGCCGTCAGTTCCACCTGCCCACTTCGGCCCTTCTGGGCCAGGCCGGAGCCGGATCCACTGGCTGGAGCAATGGGCCAACACCCATTTGCAACCCCAAAAAAACGCCAAACACCTCAAAAGAAAGAAGTCAAGCTGCTTTCTTTTATCATTGGTCAGTCGCTGTTTCATGGGGTTGCAGTGTGAGTTTCTGTGGACGATCTCTAATATAATATATTTGGTTCATGGAACTGGACGCTACTGCCCCTACTTTTACATAAAATGGAACCAAGGACTATATACTATATAGACCCTAAATGGCAGAAGGCGTGCCTCCTAGTAAGGCTTATAGGGTCAACTGGGCATTTGTGGGGGCCATGCTGCCATGCTGTCTCTCAAGTTTTTGCGGCTGGCAGAAGAAGTTGTTGAAGGACCTAAGCTAGATTCAACATGATTCAACCATTTCCGGGCAGACATCCCTAAGTTGTCCAACTACTCGGAACCTTCAGAAAAAAGAAAACGACAGTTCCAAAATGCGTCCAAACCTCCAGCCTAAAATACGGCGTCGCACAGCCCACGACATGAGACTGGGCTCATCTTGGCACGGTGGGGGCACCGTCCCGACTGTGGCGTCACTGGCCGAGGTGCTGAGCTATGCCAATTGGCATAGCTCAACGCCATGAAGGGATGTTCGTTTTTTCTCCTCTCGCACACAAAGCCGATCATCGGCGCGTTTTAAATTCTAGCCAACCATCAACTCGAAGCTCGGGAAGGGATGCTGTGTAGCTGGCCCAGGCTCCTCAGACACTTCCGGTCTAGGGCTAGCCATCAACCTCAATCACTGCCGGTCAAGCCATCCTGGGAGAAAAAAACGAAGATTGCCACCAACGCCAGGGTCCTGGCCTAACCGTTCTGGGGTTTGTGTGTGCTGAAAGCCCTCCGATTTAAGGACTTGGTGGCCTCTGCGCATCGAGATGCGCACTATCATGGGCCAACCGCAACCCCCAAGGATCCCAAGGACCGGAACCTTCCAATCTGCTTGCCGAAACATGTCATTATTCAACCAAGTACCGTCCTGATCGTCCGGCCCCTGGCAGCCCCCCTGGCTCCAAGGGGCCCAAAGAAAGCGCTGGAACGCCACGCCTTGCACTCGCCCGGGCCCATGAAGTGTACCTGTTCTGTTCGCGGGACGCCCATGGGCCCATTGGGCGTACTGATGATCATGGGTCAGAGGTGACGTGGAGTCCACTGAGGTTTCATCCCGAAACACCGAAGACGAGATGCCGATATCATCCGAAGACCCTTGACCCCGTGACGGTGACCAAAAACCACCGCTAAGTTGTGAAAGATGCCAGTCAGTCCCGAAAAAAAGATGAACGTTTGGCACCTTCGGATCCGTCTCTCAGATCCCAGAGGGAAGTCGTCGGATCGGGATCCGCCCGAGGATCCGCGAGGCCGTTCGGATAGCCGTGGGTCAGTCCACAAGGCAAAAAACCTGGGATGACAATGTTCGGGTCAAGATCGATCCTGGTCATCTGATCTACACACGCAAAAAAAGAACTATACTTCCCAAGGAACAGACCAAAGTCCCAGAAACATGCTTCCACTTCTTCTGCGACTATGTCCCGGAAGTCGTTTCCGACCTCCTAATTCGGTCCACCTCGGTCTGCTCACTCTCCGCTAGCTCCGAACTCTCCACGTGCCACGAACGGACGAGTCACACGGAGCTTCGGTACAAGCTTCGAACGGTCCTGGGACTTGGACCGGACCAAAAGGAAGAAAGGGCCAAAAGAGAACTAAGTGTCTTCGCCCTTGGGAAAACCCCAGGCTGTAGAGCTATTGGTACCATGATGTACCGTGATATACATGCAATGGATTGCCACGGGACCCCGATCGAACGAGACGCGTCTCTTCGGACCTTCGGACCCCCAACCGGGCACCACTCTCAGCACGCTGCGGGCCCAGTTGCCGTAGAACTCCTGCGGACGGGACGGGGGACGTCGCACCGGCCGGACCGGACCGTGGGACCGGACCGGACGAGAGGGACTTAGTGGGGGTCATTGCAAGGATATGTTCAGTTCGGGGAAAGGATATGATTTTATGTTTTATCACAGTAACCATGGTAATTTAATATATACTCTTGTGGCGCCAACAAGGAGATTGGTGACCAAACACACTTGCGAAGAAAGGTGAGAAGCACCGGATTTCTAGAAGACCATCTTCCCCAAACAGGGGTCTGTCAAATCGGGTTATGTAGTTTGGTGGTTGATGTGGAACCCCATCTAAAGGACATCTTGGGGTACCAGTGCCATCTATTCAGAAACCGTAAATTAAACCTCGGACGGATTTCGGGCACATCGAGCTCGGTTCCACGATGCTCCAACCGGGAGTTCCTTGCTCGATTGAAGATCAGTCTTCCTCTCTATGGTATACCTTGGCACACCAATTCCTTCGCGGTCTCTTCAGCCTCGGCACTTGAGAGTCTTTCCAGCGCTCACGTCTGAGCCGGCACTGTGACAGCTTACAATTCCTAACAGTCTCGTGCGAGGGCCGTTGTGGGATATAGTTGTCCGAAGCTCGGGAAAAAACCCTGGGACAAACACCTCAGACTACCGCGCCTCGATGATGGTATCCGAGGCCGTCGGATGCTCATAGACAGCCTCTTCGGCATCCGTCATCGACCTGATCGGCGGGATCCCCAACGGGCACCCCGTTGGAAGAATCACGACACGGAGGGCTGAACTAGCGATAAGAAACACGCTGAACATGGCATTCAGTGTGCTCCCAAGTATATAGATGATGTAGATGGTAAAGCAAGTGATCCTAAGAAGAGCTGAGCGTATTGGAACACATGGAACGAGATGGAATCCACGAGGAATCTTCCCCCACATCAACACCTGGCAAAAGGACAAACCATGACAAACCACTAAACTTCACCTGTGGGTCTTCTTATTCATCAGGTTATCATCTCTTAGCCTTGGAAAACTAAACCTTGGAAAGCCATGGTAGTTATATGTAGTTATCATCCTGTCAGAAGGTCTAACCTTCCTCTTACCCACACACTCCATGGGACTGCCATGTATGCCGATCAGTTGGGCTGGTGTTGAGGGCTCCATGGGGCGGCGGCATCTATGGCAGTCCCATGGGTCGTGTCTGGGTCATCCAGAATGAGCTCCGTCCTCGAGACCCTGACCTCTTGAGACCCGTCGACCACCTCGAAGCACCGGCGCCGGAGGCACAAGCACCCTGGAGTGGTCTGACCGGCATTCGCCAGGCTATGTGGTTAGAACAAGAGCCAAAGCTAGCTGGATGGAGACGCCCCAGCCAGGTCGGAGGAAAAACCTCCCAAAACGCTCCCAGCTGCTTGAGGGTCTCCCTGCTGAGTAACCCACTTCGAGAGTGTGAGCAGCAAGGACTTCCAGTTGTGTCGCCACCCCCCGGAAACTGCAGGTCGAGAACATATCGCAGGAAGCCAGTGGGGTTCTGTGTCAAGACTCCAATTTTTGATACTTTTAGACTTTTCTGACCAAAGAGAACCTGGACGCCACTACTTGCGACCCCCCCCCATGGTGGTGGAGTAAAATGAGTCATTAGAAGTTCTGGGTTCCCTCACATGACCTGGAGAGGCATTCGTTCTCTGCCCATCCACGCTCCTCCCTTGGGTGCACCCCGCATGCACGCCAAGGCTGGCGTCCTCTCTGCGATTGGAGCGCCCAACACATCCTCCATCGACGCACCGACACTCAGCCGCCGCTCTTTGAGAGCGGCTCACGGCGTCATGCGGCGGTTCGGCCGGTGCTGAAGGGTGAAGAAGGTCGGGCCGTTTGGATCATTTGGGATCTCTTTTTGACATGGTCAGGAAGTTGAAGTTCCGTTCCCTAAGCTTCTCCCAGTCTGGAAGCAATCTTGCCTCACGTTCTGTTCTGTTCTTCTCCCTATAGGATCCTTCACTTGACGGTGGGGGTCTACCACTGTGGCATCTCCCACGCTCCTCCGCAAAGGGTTGTAGGATCTCCGCCAGGCTGGTGATGTTGGCATCGTTTCTGCAGCGAGGGCGGCAGCCGCCGCTGGAAAAGCGGCGGTCTGGTTAGTTTGGACAAACATGGACAAACTGGGTTGTAGACTTCCTGGACGAGGAGGATCCACCACCAAATGAATTCCAATTTAGACTTCTTTCGATCGATCACAAAACGCAGTTTCTTGAGAGTCTGACAGTCCCTTCTGAGTTGGCAGTGGGTCGTTCGACCCGGAGCCCGGAACTCACCCTGCTAGGTTGACCGCACTTAGTAGTCGATTCGGTCCATTTTGGGGTCAAGCACGCTTTGACCTACAGCCAGTCTAGCCTGCTCACCGCCACCCGGAGCAGTCGCTCCGGGAACGTGTCGACCAGCACTTCAGAACCCCAAACGACCTCGCCCTGTGCCCCTCCCAAACCCCGAAGCCCCCCCTTGTTCGACCGAACCAGGGCCGATCCGCCGAACCACGCGCCGAACCTGGCCTTCGGAGGGCGGAATTGTGGGGCACCGAGGGATCTTCGGGATCCAGCCACATCACTTTGCCGCGCCCACCCCTGGAGCCGCGGTGGTTCAGCGACCGCTCGGTCGCGGCGGCTTCAGCGACGGTCATGGGGGCAGTAGAAGCGAGTCAGGGTTTGATGCATCGGCTAAGCAAGTGGAATGGGACTGGTCCGACGGAAACACGAGGGATGGTTGGAAATGGACAAGTCGACCAAAAGTATGCAAGTAGCGGTTCGAGTGTGATGAAACCAAGACTCAGATGGAAACAAACTCGTTTGGGCGTCCGGCGTCGCTTTTGCGGCACAACACAAGTTCAGCAAACCATGCGCTGCCAGATGTTGCTAGGGCGAAAATCGCTGGAAGAGGAATTGATGCAAAAACAGAGTTACGAATGGACTACCCTCGCATATGCATCGAAGTTCCTTGGATTTGCTTGGAAACCTTGGAAGGAGTCTTCATATGTGTCTTCTCTGTCCATTCGATACTGGCAACTAGCACTGGTATCAGTTACACAATAATATCGTTGATCCAAATCCCCGCCCCCTGCACACGTGTCAATACCTGGGATCCAGGCTTCCCCAGGTATCCTTCCTCCACTTCTGTGGCAAGCCGGCACAGCCTGGTTTGCTGGCTGCTTTCTGGCACACCGCCCAACCAGGTAACAGCTAGCACAAAACCCGACCAAAATTGGCCAAACTCACTGGGAAGAACGCAATATAATAAATATTAACAAATGCAAGGCCGTTTCCTGTCCCCGGACTATTGAACATACCTAAAGGGGATAGCAGGATGTATACCGGCGGTATCCGGCGGTCATACACCCATTTTCCGAGACCCAAAGTACAGTATAGATCTGAAAACGTGAGAACACCATGACAATTATCGTGCACATCTCTACCATTGCTGCCCTTTTTCTATAGTTTACTACTTCCAGTACTGTACTGCTTTGATCTCAGACTTGCAAGGATCGTCTTTGCTTCAGAGACCTGGACCAACAAATGGTCCACCTGTAAGTTTCTGTAAGCACCATCAAATGAATTGATTCCTTGAGCACTGGACTGGTGCACATGTGGTCATCTATTATGTTTTGATGATTTTTGATGATGGCAAAAATGCCTTGCAAAACATGACCTTTTACCCCCCAATCCAGTTTTCTCCCTTTTCTCGCTGAAACGCCCAAGTGCACGACCTACCATCAGAGTCGAACTGCTGCATCATCTGCAAGCCCGTGGCGAGTCAGTTCCGAAGACGGCGGGAGGGGTCCGTTCCGGGGATGTCTGGCCATCATGCGTATTGTGAAACACAGCAGCTTCGTCTGTCAGCATGCCATGGTTCACATACCCCAAGTCAATACCACCGTCCAAATGCAAAGAAACATACATACATACCTGTCCAACTTCCAACAGAAATCCCCTCTTTGGAAGCAATCCCCTCCACTGTGCAAGCGCCCCTTTCAACAAACATCCATGCATCAACGCCATGTTTCACACAACATCTCCACTTGTTGGAGCTGAAAATACCACAGGAACCCAAAAGCTGCGCCTTGTGCACTTGACTTCGATCATCTTCTCTCTGGACGAGACGTAGCACACAAAAACCTGCCCGCGCTGGGCTGCTGGGTAGATCAGGAATCCCGCGCTGGGGTGCAAGAACTAACTACCATTCCAGCTATATAGTAAAGCTTCAATATATATTTTATAATATGCAAACATGTTAATAACATATTGAAATTGCCATGATTTGAAATGACTAAGCCAGGCTGGCCCAGGCTCGCAAGTCGGCTAGTCGGCGCCGATCTCCTTCCAGGACCCGGGTTGGACGTTTGCTTCCACGCTGCCTCGTTCTAGAAGGCGATTGGACAGCGCCTGGCCATACTCTCGGATCGGATGTCCAGGAGGTCGAGTGGAGCTGCAGCGACCAAACCACGCTTCCGCTCTTCGGAGCGAGCGAGCTCTTCGGTGCGTTTGCGGTCGGGGGTGAAGAAGTGCCGCTACCGTTTAAAACAAAGAGCGAAGTTGCGGACATGCTGACGGTAAAGAAACGTACACCCTGCCAATTCGTTCTAATAACTAGCCCTGCGGATGTAAAAGATCTTGAAGAAGAAAATGAGCACCTGATGACGACTTCCTCTAGCTCTCCATTTTGGCGGCTAACATGCCCTGAAACGGATGCTTTGAGTCTAGCAACCATATAGATATGCAGGAATGCAAATGGGCGATGGATGATGAATTGAATTAATTGCACAACAAAATGCTAAAAAGCAAACCTGTGTGGCTGCAAACTTGTGGCCATCAACGATCCACTTCTCACATCAAAAGCCTTTCGACTCTCGACAAGATGTGAACGACCCAACCAAATCGGAAGGGGGGGTTGATGTTTATTGCCTCCACCGTCCAACACCCACCTCGCCACCGTTCGCCGCGCAGTTCCCCGTTCGCCCGTTCGCGCAGGCATTCCCCGGTTCGTCGCACCTCGCCCAGCACGTCGCGCTTGGTCCGGGGCCCAATGACCAGGTCGAAGCTCTCCGGACCGCCGCCGGTGGCTGGACCCTGCAGGTGGGTCCACGAACCACACGGCGAAGCGTCCGGTGGGTGGAACACGTCCGGGAAACCGGATCCACGAAGCACTGAAAAAAAGCAGAACCAAGAGGCCAGGTCACACTTAGAAGATCTTAGAAGCAATGAGTTGATATGTAAATGGTTTCTTAATCGATGTTTCATGGATGTCCATTGTTTTTCTCTAATTTTCTCTAGCAAACAAAGGTGGAGGGTAATTGATCGGAACTATACATAAACCAACATCAGAACAATGTTTGTGCACACAAAAGAAACTCGTGTACCTGGGCCTTTAATCTTACTGTACACGCTCGGATGCAGATGTGTACAATATAGGAATTGACATTGAAACCTTATAGGAATGCATACCATGATCAAACATAAACACTTCCACAACCCAGAAGAAACTTGAAACATCTTACAGCTGGATTGTGAGCTTGTATGAGCTTGTACAAACATTGCCTTCCACAGACCCACCACAGACCCAGTGTCCAAACGACAGGACCCACATACCCTCCGGTCCCTGGAAACCCCACCACCCCCCCCCCCGCTTCCCTCGCCCACGCTCCGCCGGGACCCGCGCCTGGCAATCGAGCACCGTATGGCAGTCCTTGGGATCCACCGTGACCACGCGCCCAGAGCCTCGGTGGCGTGAAACACCCGGTGCCGGTGCCGCTCCGGGAGACCCGGGGTGACCGGGGTAAACTGGTCGTTTGGGTGACCAGTGAGACTGGAAGATCTACATGGACCCTTACTAAGATCAAACATCTCAAATAGGAGATGTAATGATCCCCGGTCAGAACATATCCAGAACTCTCATCAAACTCTGAGCTTCCCTTCCTTTCACAGAAAAGGTAAAAAAGGAAAAAAAAAATAACATGAAAAAAAAAAACAAAAAAACAAACACCCGGATGCCCCTTCCTTAATGCCCATCACATCCCATCCACCGTGCAATTGTTATTCCTCGCAGTTTCCTTCCAACCGAACCCAAAAAACATGTCGCCTTGGCGCGCCGAGAACAAGTGTCGCGAGTCAACGCGCTGACCAAGTCGCTCAGCAAGGCGACTTCAAAAACTCCTTGGTCAGGAAGCCAGTTGATCAGCTGACCGCGCCTCAGGTTCCCACGCGGGTTCCGGCGCGAACGACCGGCGACCGACCGACCGACCGGGGGGTCATGGCGACCGACCGGAGCGGCTGACCGACCGGTGTTTCCCTACCTGGGAGGTCAAGATATTGGGGCTCCAGGTTTTGACACATCCCCCATGGGTCGTGGTGTGAGTTGGGGGTGCTGGGTTGGGGTCCAAGGTGAAGGTCAAAGAAAAGAGTGGGACAGAATTGTAACATATCTTGTAACAAGATTGGACAGGGGGATTCTTGCACAAACTGCAAGTATCTAAAGCACAGGAGATCTCTGTTGTGGTGAGTTGGTGCAGATGTCTTTCTCCACCTGCAGTATTCTTGTGATTTCTTGCGTATTCCTTTAGGCTCGCTTCTTGCTACCTTCTATTTTCGTGAACTGACACGCGGCCCGGCCAGCCTGTCGCGAAAAAACCTGCGGTTCCTCTTCACTTTTACCACCGACCCTCCTAACAACGCCCTGTGCTGCGGTTCCACTGGGCGCCGCGACTCCGCAGCGGAGCTCTCGGTCTCAGCGGGAGAAGGAGAGTGTGGCAGCAACTTAGTTTGCTTTAAGCAGGTAAACAGAATCAGTGGCAGAGATTCAGGAACACTATGGAAACCTTGGTTCCTTCTGACTGGACACGTTCTGGTTCTGGCCAGGATTCACTTGGAAGCCATTGTCCAAGGTCATTTGGATAGATTCGAACCCTTTAGCGATTAGAAAATGAGTTGAATGTTACTATAAATTCAATGACAAAGAAGGATCAACAGGTTCTGAATGTTTACCGCTTTTCATCACTTACCTCGCCACCACACGACACGAACCTCAACGATTTTTTGCGCGGTTACGGGCGCTTACTGCTTCGCACGACCGCACGACCCGAACCAGCTGCACTGCCTGGCCTCCACCTGAACCAGCTGCCCGAGATGGAGCCCCTCAATGACGGGGAGCCACTGCTCAAGAGCCTCCAGAGGCAGCTGGACGTTGAAATCATCTCTTTCGTTGGTTCGACGGAAGACCTTCCATCCATCTCAACTCTCAGGTTATCGGAGGGAAAATCATATCAAATGTTGCAGGTGCGGGGTTTTATACTGTAGAATTTCGTTTTAAAAACGGGGAAGGATTTCCACAGCATCAAGACCCAGCTTTTCCTTGAACCTCCTTGAACCTCCAAAAAACATGTTTGGTGCAGCATCTCTCCGTTGTCTGACAGGTGTATCCAGTTTCGGCCAACGGGGGTAACCCGGGCGGAACCAATGCAAACGAACCTAATTCAATAGCAAAAGGAATCTACTAGGAATGGCCTCCAACCTGAAAGTAATGGCCTCCAACCTACGAGCGACGGTATTTGTTGAACGTTCCGGATTTTTATGAGGCCATATGTTTTTGAAACTTCAAAAACGGTACATGGAATAATTTCAGGGGTATATGGAATAGTGTTGTTTTCCAAAATATGCCGTTTTGCATCGTTTTTTGCGAGCGTGATATTTGTTGTGTGAGTGTTTGTTTTGAATTTATCTTGTGAGCTTGCGCTTCTGCAGCCATTTGTGCACAAAGCTAACAATGTGCCTCTGCTGGGGCATTTGGGAGCAATCCACAAGCTAACAAAAACAAAACTGCCCTTGTCGTTACTATCTTTCTAAGTCCGAACTTAAAAAATCAAAAAAGGGTGTTATGTGTCTTAAATATTCTATCTACTTTTCTGAACTTTGAGGTCACATGATTGAATTTGTTTGAATTCCATCTACTTGAGGATGAGCAGATCCTCAGGTCTCAAGCAGATCTTGAGGTCTCAACATGTTGAGCGGATCTTCAGGTCTCATCGTGTCTCAACAGTCACTCACTCATCCATACTCTCACTGGTGCATTGGATGATGGATGGCTTGGGGGGGGAGCTGCTTCGCCCGCTCTGCGGCCCACATCGATCGGAAGCCCACCAGCCTCATCGCTCCTCTCCGTTGGAGCCATGCTAGACCATGCAGGACAGGAGTCAGGAGTGCAACAAAAATATCCGAATGGTTTGGAAGGGTTCACCCTTGGACTGAAGACACCCTGGCTTCAAAGTTCTACTACTGTCAAGCGTGCAAAGTATCGGACTTTCTCCTTCCTCAAGCATCATGACCTCAGCGGATTCAGATCCCTCTCTCGACCTCAACAAAAAGACATGTCAGACTTTCTCATGTAGGTGTGACTTTCTCAGTAGTGTCTCATACTATGTCTCATAGTATTTGACCCCATTTCGGGAGCCCATCCTTAACTAAGCCTTAAGAGGATGGGCTTCCACATGGTCACCCGATCCCCTCATCTGATCCCCCGCTCTGAGCCGAGACGATTTCGACCGGAACGCTCGTGATTCCCCGTTAGGCGACCCGAGACCGGCGGGACCGGGGGGTGGGGGGTGCGAGATTTCTGTGGTCCACCCTGCAGGTCTGTATGTGCTGTGGTGGACCACTGAGACAGACTAAAAACCCCAAGAAAAAACACAAAAACAGACCAAAAACCATCAGATTTGTCTAGCAGCAAGCCACCGGATGCCAAATCGGTATCTATATAAGCAACCCCCCCGGTTTCGACTTGCTTTCCTCCAAGACATCGCCCAGGCGGACTTGGGGGGGATCGCGGGGGGGGGGACCGGGAGTTGGACTCCAAGGGATGGGAAGTGCATGGAGCGAAGTCCTTCTCAGAACGAAGGGGCATGATTTCGTCCTCCACTCTGGTTTAAGAGCGAGAGATACATTCTCCAATCGATTTGGGCGTGGGTTTCTAGAGTCGAAAAAGAACGTTCTGAGGTGTGAAAGAGTGAAAGTTGCGGCCTCCGTCATGCTGTTCACATCTGTTCACTCACAACACCCGAACGAGACATGATGCAGAAGGAGGGCCTCTGTTTCTTCCAATCCCTTTTGAGTTCGGCATCGCTGCGCCACGCGTGGAAACACGCTCCAAGTCCCAAGTCTCTTCGTCTGTTTTTTGGCCCCCCCAAGTCAATGGCCACTTAAGTGCTGGGTCAACGGATGCCAGCTTAAGTCTGTTCAGACTGAGAATGCTGCAATGGCAAGGTCAACTCATGTATATATATAATATGTAATGAATACTCTCAATTGGATTGGATCGAAGAGCATGAGATCATCTGAGCAGTCCTGGTGGCCGCTTCTTCATGAGGTTTTTGATGGTTTTGGGGGTCAACGAACCACATGAGGGTTGACAGGATACGACGACCCACAGATGACCCCGGAACATCCCCACAGATGACCTCCTCCCCACAGAGCGATCCCTTTTTCTCTATCGGCTTCGTGCAACCGGTCGATCTGTAACAACCCACGGCTGGTGCCGCTTGTCTTAGCCTACATAGGGCCTATGAAGACCTCATTCTCTCTTGCCAATGCTCCTAGCTAGTGAGTAGACGTCAGTCATGTAACTTGTAGGTCGGCAACAACTCATAGGCCCTTTCTACAGGGAGCTGAAGTGCAAAAGAGTTGGCTCTAAGCGCTCCACTTGTGTGCAAACTCAAACATCCAAACATGGCTGGACCGTGTGTGTGTGTGGTGGTGTGCTTTGGCATTTGAAGTTGCACTTAATGTTTTTCCAGTCTAAGGTTATGTTCACAGCGCAATGACAATCATTATCGCCGTTCGATGATTTTTGTTGTCCCTCCAAGAGTCTGCAATCCTTGCGTGCTTGGGCATCTGCCTTCAGAGCCCCTGCCTCCGCAAGGGGGATTTGAAGACCAAAACCTCACAACGGTGACATTTCAAGTCTCCAACGAATTTCATGTCAAGCTGGTCAAGATGGTTGTCATATGCAGCCATCACGGTCAGCTCTGCAGAAGGAATCTGAACGTGACTGAGTATTTAAGACTCAAGCGCGTTCGATGCCTTCACAAAAACTTTGTTCTGTGATCAATTAACTACCTGTACAGGTCTCACTTTCCGACGTGATCCAGCAACTGTCATTAATGATTTCTGGTTCAACGCAGCTCTTGACTCATTTCTTCAAAACAACATGCGTGATATTTCGTGACTGTGGTCCTGGAGTAACTATAGATCCCCTAGTGACCTAATCACCAAGGGGAAAGAGGACAAGTTGTGGTATTCCAAAAAAGTTGCAAAAAAAAACACAAGAAAACATAAGAGATCTCTTTGTGAGGGTACCACCATGTTCTGCTACTTCCCCAAACACCGACTGTCATGGGAGATCGGATTTGGCAGATACACCCTGGTATGCCAAACAACCATTGTTTTAATTACTACTATGTTTTACTATGTTTTACTAAGGATTCTACTCTACAAAGCCAGGTCAACCATTCTTGTTTATGGTCTTTAAATGATTTTGAAGGCTAGGGTATTATAGATAGGGTGCGGTTTTATAATGTTTTTTTTGTTTGGTGATTCTTTTGCGTTGCGTTTGGGGAATTCTTTTTGCGGACAGTTCGTCCAGTGGCTGCTTGTAGCAGAAATATGTGTCCAGGAGGCCATTTTCCATGTCCATGATTATTTCAGGGCGTCTAGGGCCTGTGTGCCAAAAAATCCGAACCAACTGGACCACAAGGCAAAAAACAAAACTTCCGGCCGCAGGGCAAACAAACATGAGACAAGTATATCATAATCGAGAAGGGAGTGCAGAATGAAAGAGTTCCGTTCATATGATGCACTTGGGTTGTCCCTTAATTAGGGTACCACAAGAGGACAAGAATGACAAGAAGCAGGAAAGTAAAGAAAAGCAGGAAAAGGACAGCACAGCAACCTGGTCTGCTATTTCTCTACCGGCCGGCCCATGTATATTTCTGACCATTTTGCTGTTCAGCGGCCCGCCGGCCACATTGTGCCGGTTGGCTGACTGGCTGATCGAGAAATAGCAGGCTGGAAACTCCCGATGTCCAAGAAAGTGCTTTACAAATAACCCCTGATCGCCCTCGTGCTTTCGACTACTCAGCCAATTAAACCTAAATTCCTGTGTGTCTGCTCTCTTTCGTCCAACTAGGAAAAAGCCGGACAAAGGCCCCGGTTTTGGGGTTATTCCACATGATTCCACTCTTCTTTTTGGATCTCTTCTATTCTTCACCAATCAGTGATCAGTGACACGGAGCTGCGCTGTCTCGGCCCACGGTCGGGCCGTCTCAGACCCTCCGAAGCTTGTCGATGGCCAGCAGACCTGGGACCAGGGACCGACCTTTTGGGCTCGGCATGGCGCATGTCGTGGCTCGGACCTTCGCTTCTGAGATCGGACCTTCTTCCATGTGCTACTTGGCATCAAGTAGCTGTGTAGGTAGGTCATGGTAGGTCTATGGCGACCGCCGAAACGGAGCAGGCCGCAAGATGTTGCATTGAGAAAAGGTTGCTTCCCACACCTACTAGACCGCTTCCAGGGTATAGTAGACCTTGTGCCCTTCGGACCCGCTGAAGGGATTTGGGAGGTGATGGAGGTGGGGTTTGAAGGAATGACAAAAACCGGATCGTTCCAACCTGTTTGAGTTTGGGCGGCAAAGATCGGCTGCTTAGATCAGTGAACGGCGACCAAAGAGGGACAGCAAGTGGTGAAAAAAAAATGACAAACAAACTCTGCAGTGAAGTTAAGCCAACCAGTTCTGGTCCAATCAAAATTCAGCTTTGGCAGGTCCCAAACGAAGGTTGAACCCGAAATCTCATCAAGGATCACTCAGAACCAGAACAAAACCTGGCAGGTTCTGGAAGTTGCACCGCATGGCAGTCACTTGGCTTTGTACCAGGTCCAACAAAAAAACACGATTGTGGACCAGAGCGGCTATGGTCCTTCTTCCTCATTTGCAGGAATCCAACTGATCTTGGCGTTTCGCCCCAGGCACCTAAGGCCCCTGTGCCCAATGTCCACCTTGCCCTGCTCCCAGTCTTTGCTGCTCGGATCCCCCGGCCGCAAAGGATCAGCCCGGCATCCACACTGGGCGCGACGCGGACCTGACGGAGGCTGGGATTGAAAAACCTCTCATCTACAGTATAGCCATGTATAGCCTACGAAAAGGCTGAGTTTGGACCAGTTTTGGATAGTTTTGGTGGTCACCTACCACTTTCTGTAGTTCTCTGGGAGTCTCATGACTCAGAAACGCCAAGAAAACCAAGCTTGACTATGCTTTCTGAAACCTCGTTGCACCTGAATAATTCTGAACAGATTGCTTTCCCAGTTTTCTTGGCAGTTTCTCCATCATGTCACTCACACTCCCCTCACTTCCAAGGCCCTCCCGCCCCACTATCCTTTCCCCACTCTCCCTGTTCAGCCCCCTCCCTCCCACTCTCCCTCCCGGAAGCTCCAAAATCCTTCGTGTCGCCACCCGAGCGCCTGGAAGTGCGCGGTGCTCCCGAAGGGCACCTGGCAACGCTCCGTGTCGCAGACCAGGCGCCCGGAGGCGCTTACCACGTTGATGGCCTGGCACCCGAAAGGAACGGAGCGGCCGAGGAGAGAGGTGTGACGTCCAGGGGTGTTGCTGCTGTCTTTGCAAGAGCTTATTGGTAGAGACATGTAGATATGTACGACCTTGGTGATGGAGAAACAAAATGAAGGATGGTGAAGGAAAGGAATGCATGGCGAGAGAGTGACTTGAACGCCCAAAAAGGGTGTGGTGTCTTTGCAAGGTTCTTCAAGAATACCCTCTTCATGGTTGTCATATTGTTTGACATGTCTTTTGTTGTCTCCCATAACGATCTGGCGTCTTCAGACAGTGTCTTTATCGAACCATCGGGTGGAGGGACTCGATATATCGGACCCTCCAAGCCATGTCAAAGGGCTTATCATTGTTTCAATAGGTCCCATGGTCGAATCAGCCAGTCATGATGATGTTTCTCAATGCAATTATCACATAGCAACCCATCAAGATCTGTGGAGTATTCGCAGGTATCAAATGGTGTCGACCCGTTTCGACCCATTACCCGTTGCTTCGCGACGTGTTTTCCAAAACAAGGGATGGTACTGTACCACACTGAGGATCGGCCGGAGGTGCAAACCATGGAAAGAATCCACCAATATGTTGTTTGAAGGAAAGAGTCCACCATGTCAGACTGTCAGACTGTACAAAGAATCCAACTTCAAAATCTTCAACGTCATAGAACTCAAGTATCACTTTGATTCACTTTGAACCTTTATCCCAAGGACTGTGCTAGACTGCGTTCAGCCAGTTTTGTTTGATCGATCCTCTTTGGCCAACCTTCTCTTGGAAGTTCCCGTTGTAGGTGAAGATCCGTTGCCCTGACTTGTCCCGCAGCCTCACGCACGAGGCTGGGAAGGAGTCGGGATGGGGAACTCCGATCCACCAGGAAGGATATGTGCAAATGGAATCAAATGGATGAATATAGTCTGATCCAGTTCCTGCCTGCCTTTATTTATCTCATCCTTTGAGATCGGTACACCAAATCGAAACAAGTCAGTGTGATAATGTGTGTATTGTACAAAATCTGACATGCTATAAATATATAAATACAAGAGATATTGTCTAGTCTAGAGTCTACAGGGTGTTCATGGCTTCGGGTCTTCAGTGCCACCCCCCCGTGCCACCGCTGTGCCCATCGCATCGGCCCGACCCTTCGGGTCTCCCCGGCGTGTAGCGCTTGTTGGGCACCGGATCCTCCTTGGCCACGGTCCCATAGACCTGCCCGGCTGCCCGTTGTCCCGTCGGTTCGTCCCGGTCCAAGGAGCCCCCGAGGCCGAACAGAGCCCACCGATGCGGAAACGGGTCGGAGAAGGAATGGACAGCGCACTCGGGAGTGAGGGTGAGAGGGTGAGATCTCCCTTTGAATTCGATGCTCATCAGTGACCTTTCAACATGTGCTTGGCTGTTCCAAGCTCCTCCGCTCCAGCCCGCTCCGCTGTCACCGGTCCGCCTCGCCGGAGGGCCAACAGATCTGTGGAACTCCAGCGCCCTTCCTGAGACCGAGTGGCTCCCGGTGTTCCCGGTGTTCCGGGCGAAGAAACGGGCGAAACGGCGGAACCGTGGGAACGGATGGATGACACTGGAGACACAATCGAAGTGGATGGCATGGCCCCTGGAAAGACCCTTTTCCTTTACAAACACGAGGGTTGTCCACTTCCATGTTGGAGTAAAAATTAACGTCTTCTCAAAGGTCAACATCTCAGCTGGGCTTGCCCGGCTCGTAGAGAGGGCCGGTCCGGACCTGAGCGCACGCCGAGAAGAAAAACGCCGAGGAGAGAACGGCCAGATGTGTTTTTGTTCAGTCGGCGGCCAGGTCGGCCGCCCTGACAAGACTAAGAGGACCAAAATGATCGGATTATGACAAATCATCATAAATGTGAACATCCGATGCAGATTGATACAGTGATTGATTCCTATTAACATTTTTGCGTCGGCTACTCAGGTCAATCGTTGCGAAATTTCCAAGATCACTGACGGGTGAAAGGGCGACCTGTTGACACCGTAATAAATGGTCGCACACCAACACCTGGTCGGAAAGTTTCAGGCATTTGGTTTGATGATGTTTGGTGTATTGGTTCAGTTTCTTTGTCACCTGAGCACAACCGTTGCGTTACATGTTGCAAAACACACAAGTATCCCCTCTGCAAATGTTGTACACAACACGTTTGCAGGCTGCTTTGCGCATGCAGTTCCAACTTGCTGGCGAACCTGCATAACACCCATCCATTGCGTCATCCTCACACTGGCTGAACGAAAGGATGGTGGTCTCCTAGATGGTGCATCCACAAAGTCCACATGCAGACTCGATTGACCCAAGGGACGGGATTTCTCCGGGAAGGTATCATTTTCATTGCATTATCACCGGTATCACAACATCATCACAACAGTCACAACATCATCATCGGTTTCATCGGTTTCATACCATTGTCATCGGTTCCACAACATTGTCATCGGTTTCACAACATTGTCATCGGATGACACGGATGATAATGTGATTGAATTGGGGTGGGGGGATGGGGGGATAGGGCAGCACCTATCATCAGCCTCATCGTCATCAGCGGTTCCATCACATTTTCATCGGCTTCAAAACAATGTCATCGGTTTCAGAACATTGTTAGCGGCTTCATAACATGCTCGTCGGCTTCATAACACTGTCAGCGGTGTCATACAGTGTCATCGGCTTCATAACATGCTCATCGGCGTCATAACATTGCAGCGGTTTCATAACATTGTTATCGGTTTCACAACCTTGTCATCGATGTCATAACATGTTCATCGGTTTCATGACATGATCATCGGCTCCATAACATTGTCAGCGGTTTCAAAAAATTGTCATCGGCTTCACAACATTGTCATCGCTGTGAGAGGGACACACACCACGCGACTCACCTCAGTCCTCAATGTTTTTAGCAGTGTACAACGCACCAACTCATTTTCCATGGCGAAACATATGGTTTCGAGCACGTGGACATGCTTTCTTCGCGCATGCCCAAGAATGATAACAACAGAGTTACAAGCAGTTTGCATACATGTCTCACATAAAACTCATCATTGACAGCCTTTGCAAGGACTCGACATGCGCAAACATTGGCGAACATGATTTAAATTTGATCCCGCAAGTTGATGCCTAAGATAACCATTGAAACATCTGTGTGCAACCTTCTCACCAGTGACCCTGCGAACATACACAACATACACCATCCAAGCTGAGCACAACCAATTGAGCCATTGGAGAACCGACTCTTGATGAATTAAACCTCCTCAAACATGGATCGAAATTCTAAAAGCCTCTTCCTGGAAGGTTGAAACATCAACCGTCTACATTTTCGTGGGCTTTTGCACGCGTCGAACTCCTGGCCGATTCCATGCGTTCACTATCGTTCTCTTCTTGGCGTAGGCGAAACACGTCGCTCAGCGACTCCAAACGAAGACGTCCTCTTTTCTTGGCCTAGGTAACAAGTGCATTACTACAATGAAGCTACCGACTCTCGGTCGGTCTGGGTGCCAGACCCAAGCAAGCGGTCGTTCGTCGAGCGATCGCAGGAAAATCCCTGGGCCGGAACCGGATGAACGAGGTCCGGGTCGATGAATCCGATCCACAGGGCTTGATTCCTCGAAACGCGCCGCGGATCGCAGAGAGAGAGAGAGATCGTTGGAAGAAACGTGGGCTTTTTCGAGTGAGAAGCCGGCTGGGTTTTTCAAAGGCCAACTTGAGAATGCAAAACAAGGACTCCAAGCCTGCTATTTGCTCGGTCATATGCGACCCCCGAGGCGAACTAAAATGAACCAACGCTCCAGCTCCTCATCCAGCTGGTCCCAAGCAAGCCAGCCATGAAAACCCTGTTGGGGGCCCAGAATCCATATTGATACCTACTTCTTGTCAGCATATCAACAGCCTTCACATGCACCAGGTCCTCCGAAAAATCCTCTCATGACAAAACGAGGCTTTAATCCGGCCTCCAACGAATCAATACCCACAAGTGCAGTGGATAGAACACATGGAAATGGAAATAAATCCAAAATGCATCAATATGCCTTGAACATCCCTAAGCCACTCCCTGAACCTTGTTTATATGTCCAGCACCAAAACCATCAAATGGCTGCGAGAAAAAAGCATCACGGTTTCTGCAGCGGTGTACCACGGAGTTGCCCTCGGAGTCGTCGCAGAAACATGAAATCGTATTATGGTCAAGAGATGTCAAGAGATAGATCTTAGAGGGGGTAGATGGCACCTCTAAGAGTCCAAAACCACAAGTAGATGGCATATCACAGGGTCCCTCCTCATGCCATTCACTTGTTAGTCCCTATAGATCTTATTATAAATCATATAGACCAGTGACTCATGGTTAGCCGATGTTAGCATACCATGTTGTGTACCTATGAATGTACGTACTTGTCTGTACGGATTAATGAGTATAAACACATGTATTATATAAGAAGTGACCTCAAGAGTACAACCTGGAACTCCGTTGGTCATAGTTGTGCTCATGACCCTCGACTGGTGTGCGATGACTGCGCCACCTTCTTCTTGGTGACCATTTGAGGATTGCCTTTCATAACCCTTTAGCAAGCTCACACAGGAGGGTGTGGTGGGCAACCCGAGGGGAAGAACAACAGACCCGAGCGCTATGGTTACGGTACCTCTTCCGCATCTTCGCAATCATTCAAAAGAAACAATTATATATTATACTATAATATAATGTATTATATAGTCATATGAGTCATATGTAAGCATCGTACGTCATAAGGCAAACCATGTTGCGTACATATTATCGGCATAAACAAAGATCGTCATAAGATGTCATCAGGTCTTTGTTGATTCTGTGGCCCAACGGATTCTGTGAAACACTCTCCAGCGACGCTCCGCGTCCGCGCGCGCGAGCTCCGCGCCGCCACGAGATCCGAATTCGTCCACCACCACCTGATGTGGTCCGGGGAAGCCCGGGGGAGGTGGGACGGGGCATTGGTGAACATGGACATGGCACGGAATCATGGTGCAAAGAGTCTGGGACTAAGGGTGTTTCTCATATGTGCACTTCGAATGTTCTCATAGTGTTTTTCCCGAAAGCATTGCGAAGGGTTCGTCCGGAAAATCCTTTGAACACTGACACTTCGACACTTACACTTCGACACTCACACTGACACACTTACACTTCGACACTCACACTGACACACACACACACACTGGAAGAGCGAAAGCATCCAAGTGCGAAGTATGCCAGGGTCAAAGTATGCAAGTGTGAGTATGCAAGCATGCAATGACTATGCAAGGGCAAGTGTGAGTATGGTAAACATGGAAAACGAGCACTGACTATGCAAGGGCAAGTGTGAGTATGGTAAACATGGAAAACTAGCACGGGAGATGTCCTAATGAAAAAACATTTCCCCACTTTATAAATTCTCTCTTAAAGGCGGAGGGTGGGATGAACAGCGTCAACCGAAAGTGCAACCCTCTGCGGAGATCGTGCGTGTGGAGTGCGCGAAATGCAGGCGAGAGTGCGATTGAAGTGGGTAAGCCAGCACGCTGGCTGCCATTGTCCCCTTACCAGCAGCCCAAATGCT